AGTCCAGTCCTGTTAGTATATCCAAAAAGAAGGTGTCCACACTTGAATCCTCATCTTTAGTTTATTTATTTATTTATTTATTTGTTTTTCTTCATTTTTGAATTTCAAACACAACAGAAATAAAGAACAGATAAACAAAATGACATTAAATAAAATAAAATCCACCAACAACACCCAGGTCTAGTTCCACTAACACGTCCAAAAAAGATTGTGCCCACGTTTGAATCCTCATCTTTCATTTTTGACAGATACTGATTATTCTTTAGCAGGACTTGGCTTTATCATCAGTAGTAGTGGTGTGTTTTGTGGCAGACTCCAGACGGGGCAGCAGCCTGTGGTGCTTACACTGTCCTGATGATTCACACTCACACTGGTCCCACAGCGCCGTCGCCTTTAATCGCCATGACAACAACAAACAACTCCACCATCCCCACTGTAAACACGCTCACATGTGCTCACTGCTCACTTGTATAACAAATGTTGGATTGTAAGTTACAGGGTTCCCACATGTTCTGGAGAGTTTCAAATTTCAGATTGAGAAAATATAAAAATGTGAAAGAATTTGGTGATACATTTCATTTTTTAAAGGCACTGTATTACACTATTTTCTGATCTGTGTTCTAATGTTGTTTCCTCATCACAAATAGACCTGAGTTGTGTTTTGTTTCCTGTGTTTCATGTTTAATACACATTTCCTGCATGTTTAAGCTGTGTTCTTTCAAAAAAAAAAAAACACTTCCACCTTGTGATGTCATGTGATCATGCAGGAAGTGCCGAGGTGGGGACTTGCAAGTCGTGACATGGACTTGCTAGAGATTTGACTTGATAAAATGGATTAAAACTTGGGACTTGACTCGGACTTGAGGCCTGTGACTTGAGAAGACTTGATGCTTCTCCTAAATATATATATATGTTTTTAGAAAATACTTTTCTCTTTACAGTTGATAAATTGCAGTGCTGAATTTTATAGGAACACACTGGAACATGTCCCTCCCACTTCTCTATTTGTTACTTTGGATGTAACTGAAGTACTGTGAGATGGTATCCTCAAATGTACTACAGTAATATACAGTACAATACTTACTGTATTACAAGGAGTACAAAAAACATGATCCTTCCATTTCAGTGCAGACTACCTGACAAAATAACTGTTATTTAGCACTTTTAAATTATTTCTGTTCTGGCCGTAATAATTCACACTCAGATCTTGTTGAGACATTTCAAAAGGAAAACTAGCATTTCTACAATTCTTATGTAAATATTCCATGATTTTTTTAAGTACAATTTAGTTTAAAATTCATATAAATTGCAAAAATCTCAGCTATATTTGGTACTTTGTTTTAAAGACTTGAAATGACTTGAAGCTCAAAGCAGACATCTTGGACTTGACTTGGACTTATGAGCCAGTGACTCGAGACTCGACTTGGACTTGCCTGTATTTGACTTGTTACTTGACTCGGACTTGAGGTCAAGGACTTGAGACTTACTTGAGACTTGCAAAACAACGACTTGGTCCCACCTCTGGGAAGTGCTCTACGGTGTTTTTAAAACTCCCTACACCGTCACTTGAATCATTTTGATTTCCAGCCCCGAAATTGCCAATCTTTACTTAACAAACGGTAAAAGGCATCAGTTAACTTGAAAACCACTATTACATGACATCACAAAGTGGACCAGAGCATTTTGAGCTTTGGAAATGTAGACAGAATAATAATAAAGTGTTACTACTCAAACATGTGTGAATGAAACAAAACACGAGTCCAGGTCTGTTTTTGAGGAGGTAACAGTATTAAAACATGACTTAAAGCTCACAAGAGTCAGTTTTGTGTAATACAGGATCTTCAACAGTTAAAAATTGAAAAAGCTTTTGAAATGACTCGCAGTAAAACGTGGGAACCCTGTTTTGTTGATGTACCATTTTTGCTCGATGTCTTTGTAAATCATGATACATTCTCTTCACTCATGCAGCCGGAAGAATCCCAGGTAAACATTTGAACTCCAATTTCCCCCTTTAGTTTTTCAGTTTTTTTTTTTTTTTTTTTAATCCTTCTTTATAGCTCCAAAACAACCCTGTTTATGGTAACGGCTCAACAGTGACCGCCCACCCCCTGGTTCTGGAAGTTAATTTCTCATTCATTTTTCCCACAGACTTTCCAAAGAATATTAAAAGCTTGAAAGCTCGGGGCTAATCGGCTCTGTGGTAACTAATGACTACAAGACCTATGATGTTTTTGTGTGTTTTGAATGTGCTTTTTGGATTTAAACCAACCATGGATATTATGGATATTAGTTAACACACAGTTGGTCAGTCTCCTCGGTGCCTTTTAACTCTTAATATTTGATTTTCTTCAAAAGTCTATGGGAAAATTGAGTGGAAAATGTACTTTGAAGTGGGCAGGACTGTTGAGCTCCATTACCAAGTATTTTTGAATGAATTTATCTCTGACCAACTTCAAAATAAGAATGACTTTGAGCTTTATTAAGAGTGAAATTGCAAAGTAAACACTAGATATTACAAAAACTGCATTTTATCTTTACGAGAAGGTTATATGATCCACACACACACACACACACACACACACACACACACACAGGCCTAGCAGATGCTCTCAAACTCCATAATGTCCTCTGGATCCAACAGGGATGGGCCGAGCCACAACTGCCACAAGTCGAGACGAGGGAAGATGTTGACATTGTCTCTATTAAACTAAATTTGGCGCTTCATTTCAAAACATTTTATTTACTTAATTTCATGTTTTTGTTGTCATTAAAGGAACTGTATGTAAGATTTTAAATTTCATAAACAGTCTGTAAATATGAGATAAACTTGTTCAAATGAAATACAACAACAAGTGTAAAGTGGATTTACTCTTAATTACTAAAGGTTGGACATGAAAGCTGTGATGTTTCCGATATAGTTCATTGTGTTTGGTTCTCAAGACAAATGTAGAAAAAAAAAAAACAGATCCACACTGCAATTCTTTGTTGCTTTCATTGTTTAAATGAATCGTCAAATTGTGGTGCGATTAAAATAATAAAAATGCTGAGCTCCAAAGAGGTTCGTGTACCATTTGTTCTTTGGAATTTCAATTAAGAATGAAAAACAGTTACATTATTATTGTTATCATTATTCCGTTTTAGTGTCAAACAAAAAAAAAAAAAAAGGATTTCGACCTCAATTTCCAACATTTAATTTAAAGTTTATTTAAAAAACAGTCTCGGTGCCTATTTAAATTTGGATATTTTATTCTCTCTGGTTTATTTCCCCAGAAGTTCTGCTGCTAGAAGAACTCACCTGAAAAATTACTTCATTTCTATGGACAAACTCGTCATCTTCATTTATAGCGATGCATTTACTTTCGCAAAAGAAAGAAAGTCATTGTTGAACTCCATGACAAGAAACAAGTAGCAGCGGTAAACTTGGTTCAGTTGACTCCATAGAACTATAATAAAAATAGTTTTTTTATAGATCCCTGGTTGACACTGCAGCAACTTCTGGGGCAAATAAACCAGAGAGAATAAAATATCAAAATTAAAATAGGCACCAAGACTGTTTTTGATTGGGTTATTTGAAATAAACTTTAAATATTGGAAATAGAGGTCAAAATCAGTTTTTTTTGTTTGACACTAAAACGGAATAATGAAATAACAAACTGTTTCCCTTTTTACTGTTTTTCGTTCTTAATTGAAATTCAAAAGAACAAATGGTACACGGACCCAAAGAACATCAGTATAGATCTGTTTTTCTTGTGTTTTCTACATTTTTTATCTTTGGACCAATCATGCAAATGCAGCTTTTATCGAATGTGCTTGTTTCTTTCTACGAGTACTGTCTCATTGTCCAATCAGAAAGCAGAATGAAGCTGTTATGAATCTCTTATTTGTGTTGCCGGTTTTGATGCTGAAATCCAGTTGGTTTAAACCTAAAATGATTTTCTCTGATCTGAATGGTCACTACCTAAACCCCAGCACCTACAACCAGTCATGAATCAGTGCTAGTGCAGGCTCTGAGAATGAGGAAACGTGTAATGTGTCGCACGTTTAGGCCCCTAACAACACAAGTTCTACTGTGATTGTAGTATATCTTTAAAAACTGGAAAATCACAGGTTACGTACAGTTTCTCTACATTAGAAAAAACAATATCTAGGTAAGTTAAAATGACTTAAATTAAGAACATTTGACTTTATTTGAGCAGATTTAACTTGACAAGTAAAATTATCTCCCAATGGAATAATTGTGTTTTTCTTCATTCAAGCAACATTTGATTTTGTTTCTTATTTTAAGTGTAGCCAGATGTATTTTCAGATTTTAAGTACAAAAAGTCTATTCCATTGTCAGATCATTTTACTTGTCAAGTGAAATTTACTCAAATCATGATAAACTTTTCTTAATTCAAGTCATTTTAACTTGACTAGATGTTGGTTTTTTTAGTGTAAAGCATTGCTTTTTTAACTACAGCTTCTCAAAATGTAACTCACACATTGTTTTTGCCCGAGCCAAACGCAAACACATGGAATGAAAAGCCAAGAGAATTTTCTGTGTGTTCAATCTTATGACATCTTTATCTTCGAAGATCTTGTTTAGGTACTGGCAATGCAGGTTCTACTGTGACTGAAGTATATTTTTTAGAAACAAGACAATCACAGGCTATGTACAGTTCCTCTAAAGCATTGTTTTATTTTTTAAACTACAGCTTCTCAACTGTAACTCACACATGTTAAGGTTGTTTTTGCTCCACCCAAGCGCAATCACATGGAATGAAAATCTCAGAAGATAATTTTCCATGTATGTTCAATCTTATGACATCTTTAACTCCTAAGATCTTGTGGCAGAAGATCTCGTCCCATCCCTAGAATCCAATGCCTGTTACGATATTCTCAACAAACACTGACAGATTTTGACCTGACCTCCTCTTTTTTCAACCTACATTTGATTTGAACTCATTATCGTTGACATGTTGCTTCACACGTCTCTTCTTCTCTTGTGTCCTCCTCCTCAGGGATCCTGGAGTGGCCGTTCTGGACCAAGCTCGTGGTGGTGGCCATCGGCTTCACTGGGGGACTGGTCTTCATGTACGTCCAGTGCAAGGTCTACATCCATCTATGGAGAAGACTCAAAGCGTACAACCGGGTCATATACGTTCAGAACAGACCAGACTCGTGTAAAAAACTAGCCTTGGACAAACCTATCCTAATGGAACCCAACCTGGAGAACAAAGAGACGCTGGCCCCAACCCAATCGGACACAAACTCCTCCCAGTACACGGAGACGGAGGAGTACTGCATGGAAGTGGTCAACGTCTGACGGACACCTTGGGGAAAATACATTTGAAGGATCGAAGTAAAGTAGTCCGTGATTAAAACAAGCAGACTTTTTTTTTGGACCATTTTAAAACTTTCAAAATGGACGCTTCTAACGATTTGATCTCAAGAGCCAAAAGACTCCGTTGAGGTCCAAAAACGTAAATGTGTTGTCAGTGGCGGTTGATGGCGTGTACGTAGGTTTGATTTTTTTGAGATTTCCAAGCCAGTTTTTCCTGTTGATAGTGAATAAAACGGAGACCAGGAGAAAACCGAGCAAACGCCAACCTTGGATTTGTAAGGGTGTTGCTTTTTAGCGTCGAAGCACTTTTGTTTTTATTATTTTGACCTGAAATGACACATTTCATTTCAATTGACTTTTTGGTGGGACATCGTATGAACATCGAACGGATGACAAAAACGGATGATGGAAAAAGGAATTATGGATCAAAAAAGGAATATTTCAATTGCAGAGTGTTGGACGCAACGTGGAATTCAGCATAATTCAGCGTAATCGTGATTCCAGCGTCATACTGAGCAGGCGAATGTAAACTTTTCGACAAAAAAAATTGTAAAAAAAAAACAAAAAACAAACAAACGAGCAACTTTTTGTACGGTAAACACAAGACAAGAAAGTACAATATTATTACTGGAGTCTTGGGGGGGGTTCGTGAATGCTACAATGTGATAATCCACGTGCAGTTTTGAGATGCCTTCAGAAATCTACTGCCGATTTTTAAAGTGCCCATATTACGCTATTTTCTGATCGATGTTATAATGTTCTTTCGTCGTCACAAACAAACCTGGGGTCGTGTTTTGTTTCGTTCACACAAACCCTCCGCATTGGTGGTGAGTTCTTCTCTCAAACGAAAACGAAAAATACAAGAAGCACTCCATTTCTGCTCTGGAATTGATGATCTCAGCTGAAATAAAGGTAGATACTAACTAGAAAACTACAGCTTCATGACATCAGAAGGTGGAACAGAGCATTTTGAACTTCGGAGATGTAGACAAACTAAAAATGCAGGTATGAATGAAATAAAACACAACTCCAGGTATGTTTTTGAGGTAACAATATTCTAACAACAACAATTTTGTGTAATATAGGAGCTTTAAATCTGTACAACGCCTTTTTGTTTTCTGGCGTTTGATCCCTGGAAAAGCAGAAAGCCCAAATGAGGTCTTTGATGTTGGCTCTTCTCGACTATGGTTTTCGCACAGTTCAGAAGTCGATACGTTTTCAGACAGCAGCGATGTTCAGACACGATGTTAACAGCTTCGCGAATGTGAGGGCTGGTGGTGAATAGAGAGAGAGACTATCACATCTGCCTATGTGGCCTGCAAAATGGATGCTTCAACTTGACTTTGGCTGTGTTCAAAATCAGACACTGTAGTATTCCACATATAAGCACTCAAAATAGTTGTTGTTTTCTGTTTTTTATTAAGTTACTTTCTTGTAGAGGGCGCACCAGTTGCTTGTTTCCATGAAGATGTGATTGCTTTGACTGCAGTGTTCCAAACTATGGCATTAAACTTCTCAAACTACAAAGAAAGAAGCAGGAGACGCCACCAGACCAGTTTACAGGTGAGATCTGTGAAGAGGCGGCTCTACTCAATATAGTGCCACGGGATTTACAGAAAATGAATAACAAAAGAAAAAAAAAAAAAACACCAAAAAAATTATTAGACTGTAACCAGACTTAGGCCCCGTCCGCACTAGTGCGTATTCGAGTCGTTTTCGTTGCGGATGCAGTGTTCGTCCACACTAATCCGACTGAAAACTGCTCCAGAGACGGAACGATCTGGTGCCGCCAGCTCCCACGAATTCATTTGAGTATGGATCTGGTTCGGCACAGTGTGGACGCCTGAAAACGCTGGTACGCTGATGTAGGTCTATGCGCCGTGACGTAATTCACGACCAAAACGCTAAGAGGCTAGAATATATGTCCATACAGTCTGTGCGTACGACCTGCAGACGTATAATCTCTGAAAAGTTTCACATGAACCATCTCCAACGCGATAGAAGCACAGAACAGACTCACCATCAGCAGAACACCCCTCTGTCACAGAATGAACACTCATAATCCACTGAGTCTTGTCATTTATTCTGACAGAAACTGAATCGCATCAGCGCACAATAGCGAGCTGTTTTTTGAGCGCTTAGTTCATGCAAATTAGCCATGCGGTTTTAAAGTTTCATTTCTGTAAAACGTAAACAAATATGCTCAAAGCTGTGTGGATAGGGAAGGCTTGTGGACACAGAAACGATGTGTCTGGACGCAGATCGTTTCCGATACGGTGATACAGTGATTCGTTTCAGTGTAAACGTAACCTTAAGGAAGTGCAGGATTCTATGGCTATACTGTGGAACATTCCAGACAAGCATAACATCACCATGGAGACAAGTATTGCATAGCGGACACTCCACTCCACGAAAAAAGTTACAGAGTACACCTTTAAAGCAACCTTTTAGTTTAAAATTCATTCAAATACCAGACACCAGGTCTTGTTTGTGAATTCTAGAAGTAATTTGACCTTTTCAGTAGAACGTGGATGTACTTTTACTTTTTCAGTCATCAGTCAAACTTTATTTATAGAGCAAAACAACACAACACAAAGCGCTTATTATAATTTTTTTACTATTTCTTTCTTCACTTTGCACTTTAAGGTATTTTATTGTATATGCAATGTGTAGTATTCTTGCCTATTGTAACAAAATCTGCTTTTCCCTAGCAACCACCAACAAATAATCTCATTGGCTGGCAAAAAATATATTAATTTCAACAGTTTGACCCTGAAAATTGTGTTCAAACCATAGACTGTAGCCTATATAATATATAAATGGACATAGTAAACCTGCTTGCTGCTGCGTTCCAAATAGGAAGTGAACACTGGAGTGCTTCTGGCTCCATCGACTTTGGCTCCAGTTCACTTTGTATTGAAAAAACGTAACCGCTTTCTATGTAACTGCTGCTGTCAGACTCCTAATTTTGGTCTTAAAAAGTTCGTCTTAACCCGCTCTGTGTGATCCTAGTGTTTTTATTTCGCGATTTTGTTTGTCAATCAATTTGACTCAGTTCAATTTTCCTTCTAATAATTCTGAACAGAATCTTGTATTTTGTACAGAAGTGTTTTGGTTTTATTTTAGTGAGAAACAATTGTAAATATTAGAAAATGAATGATTGTAAAATGTTTAGTTTTAGTTTAATATTTTTCCTGGTTTAATTTAACTTTCGAGAGACAATTTCAAACTCCGGCTCTTTGTCGTTCCTTCGTCTTTCCTTGTTTAACTCTAAACCACTTTCTTATTTTAGTCTTGTCCAAAGATTTACCGTTTTTATGAACTCTAAAATTCAACATCACACTCCCTTAGTTCAGTTCTCTATACTATAATTTATGGTTCGAACAAATAAAGCTACATTTTGTGTTTAAATTAAAATCACAAATACCACTTATCTTTTTGCACAGAGAATAATTATGAATGCATTTTTGAACACAGCCTTGGTTTGCAGCGTCCATCTTTAGAAGCACATGTGACAATGGTACAAATAGTACTGAGCACACGTTCACCCTCTGCAATAAAAAAAACAATGCAATACATCACGTGGACAGCAGGTTATCAGGGGTCAGAGCGGAGAGGCGCAGAAGACGGCTCCCTCTGCTGGTGGAAGCGCGTCACTGCAGTCGATTTCTGAAGGCACTTTTTATTGGAGCTTTGTGAGTGCTTTATGTCTGTCCCGAGCACAGCCACACCAAGCATTTTTAAAACAACTTTGATACCACTTTTCTGTGTAATCAACTCCACTTCTGGTCATGAAAACTGCTCAGCGCCAGCAGCAATAACTCAACAGTAATGATCGATGTATTTGAAGTTTTGTGTTCTATTGACTTGACTTAAGAAAACTCCATTACCCACAATGCTCTGTGCAGTTAGACAGATAAAAAGTGCAATTATGAATGATATTTGTTGTTCTGTTTTAGTCCCTGTATGGTGTTTTTCATGTCCAGGGTCAGCTCTGGGGTTAACTTGATTTGTTTTTTTTGAATATTATTTCTTCTTTTTGTGTCGTATTTATTTTGAAAAGAGTTTTAAAGAGAGTTTATCAATTTAATATCCCGTCATGAGTGATTTTATGCATTTTACACTTGCATTGTTCAGGAAGAGTAGAGTTATTCTAAGTTTTACATCAGGGGTCTCCAACCTCTCTCTTCTGGTGAGCTACCTTTACAAAAAACAAAATAAATATGTGATAAATATAAGTAAAAATAATAAAAGAGTAATAAGTAAGTAAAATAAGAGTCTCAGCAAGCCTGTACAGTGAGATGTCTATAAACCACACACCATTGTCTAGTTATTAATGCTCAAATTAGACAAAAGTATACATTTACAGTTGTGATACACATATTTATCAAATTTTTGTTATCCAGCACAATACATATACATATAATTCAGAATTTGTTGAGCTGCTTGGAAGTGGATGGAACTACAGGCTGGAGACCCCTGTTTTAGTTATTTGTAGCTATAATAAAGTTTATGTTCATTAATATATTAACTTATTTGAGTTAATTTAACAGTGGTATCGAAATGTCACAAGACAGATGCCACATAAGAAGTTTATTAATGAAAAGGAGGAGAAAAGGAAAGAAAAACATTCTAAAATGTATTTAAAACACCATACAACAATGCAAAAAACTGCAAAATTTAAAAGTGCATTGTGTAAGTTTTCTAGGGGAGGCTCGTTTTTGCGTCGTCAGTATGGCATTAAAGCTTTCTATCTTAATTGGGATGAAGCCAGACTATGTTACAGGTCAGATCTGTGGAGAGGCGACCCCGCTAACAGTCAGAATCCCTGTTTTATTAGATATTTTTGAGCTATAAAACCACTTGTAATTGAATAAATGTAACTTAGAGCTGTTTAATGTCATACTGTGGAACATTCCAGGCACAGAAACAAGCAGGTGGCAGACCGTCCACCAGTAAAGTTACACAATGCAACTTTAAACATAGTTAAAGTTAAAAGTATTTTCAAACAGCAAACTCATCATAAAACGCAAGAATAAATACAAAATTCTCTTAATGGAAACCTTTACAAACTGTTATTTTGACCCTTTTTTTTCCAACTTTTTTGTCTTTCTGAATGTTGTTTTCTTTCACTCTTTGGTGTTGAACTTTGAAAATTGTCATTGTAGTTTGCCCTTGGAGGCCACCGTACATTGAGTTTTGAATGGTTCTACTCAAAGGAGCTGGCTCCTGCACCGGGGCACAGTCACAGTGCGGTCCTGATGCTAACATGCTAATATGCTAACATGCTAGCTCTCTCTTTTGCCTCTTTGACTTCACGCCGTCCCAGCACACGAGCTTTTGTCATCTCATGTTTTAAAGCGTACGGAGAAGAAGAAGAAGAAGAAGTGTGACCTGCAGCTGTTTGTTTACTACTGACTGGACTGTTCACGGTCTTCAGATCACTCCGCCACTTTGTCTGTGACCTTTTCTTTGGTAGTAACTGTAAAGAATTTGGTAAATAAAAATGTACATCTGTTTTTAAATAAAATCTTGATGTGTTTTCAGTTTTCTCATGTTTGAACAAAGTATGTAGACTTAAAAGAACAACCAAATAAAGTGGAGTTTCTTTTAGCGCTCGGGCCCTGGTCTTGTTCATTGTGTGTTGTGTGTTGTTGTTGTGTTATTGTTGTGTTAATGACTGTGGAGGTGCTGAGGTTGCACTGGGACAGAGACGGTGCAGATGGATTTTAATGAAGAGAGAAAGAGACTGTCTGCTCGTCTCTCTGAGCTCTGCACAGACGACAGGAGCTGCTGCATTAGATGAGAACGCAAATGTGACATGGGAACATCAACGCAACGTGCTGAACGCATCAAGGATCTGTGTTTGTGCTTCTTCACCTGTGTACGAGGGACACACAACAGCGGCAAAAGTGGAGTTTTTTCAAGTAAGAGTCATAATATACAAAATAACGCATAATTATACTAGAGCAGACATGTCAAACTCAGGCCCGGGAGCCAAATTTGGCCTGCAATATAATAATATTCGGCCCTTGAGATCATATCAAATCTGTATTAGAGCTGCCCGCCGGCTACAGATAGGCTATAGAGACATGATTTAATTAAACCTGTTATTATTTATTTATTATTTTCTGCTTGTTCTGGATTTAATGTTGAAGCAAAACTATTATTAAACTTTAATTTTAATCAGAAAAGGTTTAACATTACGTATCGCGAAAGAAGAGAAAACATGCAGATGCAAATTTTTCAATACATATTTAGTTTGGCCCATGACTTTTTAATTTTGACCCCCTGTGAATTTGAGTTTGACACCCCCGTACTAGAGTGACCAGACGTCCCTATTTACCTGATTTGGAGCCCTGTGTCCCCTGTCCCAGCAGATTCATCCAAAACTAGTGATTAGTCCCAGTTTTATATAAGAAATGTTCCAGGTGTCCCTATTTTTTGACAAATTTTATCCCTGCCAAAAGAAAAGAGAGATAAACTGTCATTTCTTCAGATAAAGTACAGAAAAGCTGCTTAAAAATTACCAAAACACAAAGAAAATGTGACTATAATGACTCACATGTTAGTTGTGAATAATCATGAATGGGCTGACTGCAGAACAATTCTCCTTAATTACACATTTGTTTCACAATTTTATTATTACCAGCCACTCCAAACCGAGTGTCCCAGTTTTTGCTTTTGAAAATCTGGTCACTGTAGCATAAACTGTACACTGGCCCTGAATCATCTAATGGTGCCCTTGATGATATAAGAGCAAAGAGCAGATTTCACTTTCCATTCATTTCCTTAAATAATGAAAAGTTGGTTTGTACAAAGTAACAAAGTAACTCAGTTCAGTTGATCCTTTGCATCATTCTGGGGGTGTTTTACATGGCTTTTTACAGTGGAATATATATAAAACTACTGATTTGTCCCAGTTTTATACAAGAAATGTCCCAGGTGTCCCTATTTTTGTCAAATATGATCCCTGCCAACAGTAAAGACAGACATAAATTATTTGTTAAGTTAAAATACAGAAAAGCTGCTTAAAAATGACCAAAACACAAAGAAAATGTGACTATAATGACTCACATATTGGGCTGAATACAAAACAGTTTTCCTTAATTACGCACTCATTTCACAATTTTATTATTACCAACTGCCTCAAATCCAATGGGGTGTCCCAGTTTTTGCTTTTAAAACTCTGGTCACTGTATTAACAGCACAAGTCACCTCACCTGCTTCAGAGAAATCACTTCTTTGTGGTCAGATTGTGTTCAAATAAAGCTCAGATTAAAGTCACACCCAGAGGGAATACTGATGACAGCTGCCAAGTATCAACATTACTCCAAACCCTCCAAGTAAAAAGACAGCCCTAATAGAGTTAGAATAGACCACACTACAACAATGAATGAAGTTAAAGCCACAGTATGTCACTTTTTAGTCCAAAATAAATTGAAATAAAAGCATGTTGGTGTGTGTTTGTTTTGTTTGTATTTACTACTGTGAGCGGACTTGCATCTCCACAAACCTTACTCTTAACTGGCCTGAAGAAGGACCGCCCCCTGCTTGTTTCCATGGAAATGTGGTTCTTTTAAGCTATACATTTATATGAATCTCATTTGTCGATCTCCATGGAGAATGTGCCAAAGTCTGGTATAATAATCTTCAGGCTATCTGACTTGGTTTGAGTATTTTTGAGTCATTTGGATAGATATTTCTACTTGGTTCAAAAATAACTAATTTGTGCCTTTTGTATTTTGGTGGAGATGTAATTCCTTCACCTTGAACGTTTTACAATATTAAAATTAACTTGGTCATCACAATGGAGACAAATTACAAGTCAGATCCATCTAAAAGCAAGCCTGCACGTTATAAGAATTCATGTTTTTCAAGGTGTTTTTGATTTATAAAGATCCTTTAATTGAATACATGCAAGGCAGATAAGTTTAATGACCTACTGTGGAACATTCCATGCAAAGAAATAAAACCTCTATGGAAGCGAGCAAGTAGTGGACCCTCCACCACAGAAGTTGCATAGCAGAGGTGGGGACTTGCAAGTCGTGACTTGCACTCAAGTCAGACTTGAGTCACTATATTTTTAGGAATTAAGACTTGACTTGGACTTGATGCTCAATGACTTGGGACTTGACTCGGACTTGAGGCCTGTGACTTGAGAGGACTCGAGAAGCACTTTTAAATCTGAAGTCTTTGTATTCTGACTGTACTGATTCACACTAAGATCTTGTCAAAACATTTAAAAAGGAAACATGAACATTTCTACAACTCTTATATAAATACTCATATATAAATATACTATGATTTATTTAAAGTAAATTTTTTCTTAAAATTCATATAAATTGCAAAAATCTAAAATGTATTTGGTATTTTGGTTTAAAGACTTAAGATGACTTGAAGCTCAAAGCAGACGACTTGGACTTGACTTGGACTTATGTGCCAGTGACTCGAGACTCGACTTGGACTTGAGTTCAAAGACTTGAGACTTTTACCTCTGTTACATAGTGCAACTTGAAACGAACTCTTATATTTTTTGTTCAGGGTGTTCTATTATAGTCCTCTCTGATATTAAAGCGCCTATGAGAGGTTAGACTACTCACTTCACTAAAGCAGAATGAAAGATTTTGATTTAAAAAAATAATCATTTCCTTCCTACATTCCTACATTCACTAGGACAGCCGTGTAGTACACTGGGCCAAAACTCTTCTAATGTATAAATTATGAATTGACAAAATACAAGAAAACACATTTATTTTATTGAAATCATGTTTAAAGTCTCAGAAAAAATGTGTTCTGTGTGTAAATTGCGCTGAACAGAAATCTACTTCAAAAGCTTTTCAACTTTTCTTCCCAAATTGCTTCTCAATTTATGTAAAACTATCATTTATAGTTTACAAATTTAGTCAAAATTAGAGAATCAAAACCTCATATGAACTTTAAAATCCCTAGTTACTGATCAATTACTTCACAATATTCAACAGTTTTCTCTTTTTTTTTTTTGCGTCACACAATCAGATCTGTCACACAGCCACACTGTTGGGGATGCGGTCTGGGGACATGTTGTAGTAGGGCAGTCTCTTTCCCTCGTTCCTCCTCTTGATGGTGCTGTTGATCTCTGACAGCCTTTTCCTGAAGTTCTCCATTGCTGTCTTCACTGGTTTCTCAATGAAGTGCTCGTCCGGATACATGCCCAGGAACAGCTGAAGAGAATGAAATATGTGGACAGTTTTAACATTGACATGAAAAGAAATTTAAAAAAAGTAAATACTACCAGTGATGCAAAGAATACTCTGAAAATGTGTTTAGTTACAGAATACTGCATTAAAATGCTCAGATTAACCTATTTTCTGATCTGTTATGTTGTTTCCTCATCACATTTGGATGATTTCAGCTCCAGGATTTGTCAGTCTCTACTGAAAAAGGGAGCCGTTTTAACTTGAAAACTATTTTGAAGGTTTACTTAAACTATAGCGTAAAAAACTTGCCCTGTGCAAGGTCCGCTATGGCTGCAGCATGTGTGGTGTCTCGGACACGGGTCTTCCATAAAAAGAGTCCAAATACTGTGTTCCTCAATTAGTTTACTGGCGTACCTTATAGCCATCCAAAAATACACAGATTCAGCACTCAATAGATCACGACAACGGTCATAAGACTATACCTTCACGGTGCAACACCTGTGTGCACATTTTCCTCCCCTTTTATAGGGCAGCAAATTACGTAGCAACTTACAAATAGCACCACACAGTGGCAGGAGGTAGACAGGTGTAAAATGGCTCCAACACACCGGCCCCTTACTTGTGGAAGCCAGGAGCGAAACAATTAAATAAAATACAAAAATACATTTGGAGCCATAAATTAAATTAGCTGATCTTTCTATATTTACATAGGAACAGTTACACATTTATCCAAAATATCCAATACCATTATCCAATTTCCAAAAATCATTGCTTGCACTTAATTCCATCCAGTTAAGTTAAATTAATAAAACATTTTCCACCTTTTTCTTTTGAAGGCTTTGCAGATTTTTAGTTGAAAAAACTTTTGGACTTAACAAACAAGCAGATACAAAACACAAATCACAAGGGCAACAGTACATTCAAAGTGAGAAATGTTCACTAAGGGACCATAAAGGTGCAGAGGATCACCAGGGGGCAGTGCAACAGCAGTACTCCAGTTATGCGCTGCAAATGAGCAGCTACTCAATGCTTGACTGTCCTTTGATGGACCACTGCAGCCCAGCTCCAGCAGCACAGGACTATCCACAACAGGCTACTCAATGTCCATGCAGTCCATACCAGCAGCAGTCCTCTCCTGCTCCTCATCCTCTGTGCCACCAGCGCTCTCAATCAGAGGCTGTCAGCTTGTGATTTACTTGCACTCTGCAAACTATTATCAATGTTGCTCATGATAGGTGGCTCAAATTGGTCCATGGCAAGGGTATCAAGGTCCTTCTGTGGTTCAGGTGAAAGAACAGGTTCAGTTTGGGATAAATCCATGTCAGTGGTGGTTCCGGCCCCTGTTGATGCAAAAGCACTCACCACTGTGGCGCATAGCTCTCACTCCTCCCAGTTCACTGTATCAAAACCATCATCATCACCAGCCCCTGTTTGATCTTCAAGCAAAACAGGGAAACTTGTGGTTTGTTTTAATAAACATGGTTTTAAAGGAGACAGTTGACTGAGGGACCTTGGGCTCCAGCGGCAGTGGTCTGGGTTTTACAGTTTTATGTTTATTTGAGGCATTCATCACTGCCAACTCTGCTGTCACCTCAGCCAATTTAGTCTCAAGCTCCAGTTCATCCAACCTTCTCCTCATTCCTCTTTGCTTTGCTTTAAGTGCATAAATCTCCTCCATATATGAAGCTTTAGCCAGTAGCACAGCCTTTTCAGCCTTTATTTTTACCAATGCTGCAGCTACAGAAGCCTTCATTCTTTTTTCACTACTGTGACTGTCTTTATGTGTCCTTTCACCGTCTATTTTTTCCTTTTTCTAAATTTTTTGTTAAAACCCGTGCCCAAAAGTTAGAGTTTTGTAAATGCGCCATCCTTGCAGACGCTTCAACATTTAGCGTAGGCCTACCAGGTGAATGTTCTGGGCCTGGCCTTTCCAAACGCCGGGTGTGGCTCCTCCGCGTGGCTCCTCCGTGGTTCGCCTGCACCGCCTTCGCTGCACGGTCCCTCCGCTGCAGACAAAGGAGTTCCCGCGCCGAGCCGTTCCTCGCCTCCGATGCTGCCGGTGACGACGCCGAGGTTCTCCGGTGCCGTCCGCTCCCCTTTCTTCTCCGGTCCGCCGCGCCTGTCGCGACGAGTCACCGCTACGGTAGTAGGTGGGTCCACTCCAGGAAACCGCGCTGTGCCAATCACAGCCGACGCAACAACTTAACGCCCGGACGGTTCCTGAGGTCTTTGACAATGTAGCAGCCAAAACCGCAAGGTCCGCTATGGCTGCAGCATGTGCGGTGTCTCGGACACGGGTCTTCCATAAAAAGAGTCCAAATACTGTGTTCCTCAGTTAGTTTACTGGCGTACCTTATAGTCATTCAAAAATACACAGATTCAGCACTCAATAGATCACGACGACGACGGTCAAAAGACTGTATACCTTCACGATGCAACACCTGTGTGGAACATTTTCCTCCCCTTATATAGGGCAGCAAATTACGTAGCAAGTTACAAATAGCACCACACAGTGGCAGGAGGATGACCAGAATTTCAGAATAAAAAACTCTGACTCTCTCGGTTTGGAGTGGTTGGTAATAATAAAATTTTGGAACGAGTACGTAAGGAAATTGTTATGCACTTGTTGCGTCAGTCTAGACACACTTTATTTGTGTTTTGGCCATTTTTATGCAGCTTTTCTGTATTTTACTGAAACTAATGAAAAAAATAGAGATACCTGGGACATTTCTTGTATAAAACTGGGACAATTGGTTTTGGATAAATTCACTGGGACAGGGGACACAGAGCTCAAAATCTTGACTGTCCTGGGTAAATAGGGACGTCTGGTCACTCTACTTAAACATGTGTGAATGAAACAAAAGCCTGTGCGTGTTTTTGATGAGGTAACAAAATGATAACATGACTTAAAGCTCACCAGAGTCGGTTTTGTGTGATATAGGACCTTCTGTGCTTTAGGTAACACATTTGTTGAGCTCAGAGTGAGTCTAAACACACAGATCCTTCTCTCTCTGTCATCTGGGTGATTAGATTCTCTCAGAGCCACAGATGGTGTTGTTGAGTTGTTTGTCGTACCTCGTTCTCCTGGTACTGGCTCAGGGCCCACACTGCTCCCAGGTGCCAGCTGGAGCGCCCCCTGTCTGGCAGACTGTGTATGATCAGGTTGACATCAGCCAGGCCCTTCTGTGTGGGAGGGGGCTTCCTCATGGTGGAGGGAGCGTTTGGGATCCACGAGCACCAGTCGTACTGAGACAGAGAAAACACCACAGCAAATAGATTTTAATGAAATGAAAACCATTTACTGCCAGAGACATTTTTGTAAACTGTGCTTTGTCCAAACAGGAGCTCTCACATGTGGAGACTGTGGTAATCCTGCCTATGTGTATTATGAATATGCCATTCTGGCTTGTCAAAGCCTGATCCCGTCAGATCTCAGAAGCTGAGCAAGGCCCGGTTAGTACTTGGATGGGAGACAGCTGGGAATTCCAGGTGCCACAGGGGGGCGCCAGTTGCAAAAACTGTTGTTGTGTTCTTAGGCAAGACACTTCACACACATTGCCGAGTATGGGAATGTTGTGTGCGTGAGTCAGTCTGCCCAAGGGCAGCTGTGGCTACAATAGTAGCTTACCACCACTGAGTGTGGCATGAATGTATAATGAACTGGAAAGTGCTTTGGGTATCATGAATGGAGCTATATAAAGTTGCATAGTGCGCCTTTAAGTAGAAGTACAGATACAGAGAGAGAAAAAGTACAGTATATATATATATATATATATATATATATATATATATATATATATATATATATATACTGTACTTTTTATATATATATATACCAGAGTGCAGTATTTCAAAGGAAAACTACATAGACTATAATGTTGTGGAGCATTCGGCATGGATTAAAATGCACTCTGTTCATTTCAAGGTACTTGTTTTATAGATATTTGCATTTTGTTGTTCTAAAATGATACATTCTGCTCATCACATGTTGTAATTACACCACATTTTGAGAAACACTGCTTCACTTTTCCTCTGAAGTGAGTGGAATTTCGGGCTCTGATGGCACTTAAGAAAGTCCTTGAAAAATGCACTTGACCAACAGCCTGTTTATGAGCCCTTTGTCACTGACACATTTTGAACATATTTCCAAAGTTTTCATGAATAAACCAGGCCCTCTCCAGGCCCCCTCCTCCTGCGTCTCCACGGTTACGCACCTGTCCAAAGTTGACGGCGGCGTGCTGAGCGGAGGCTGTGAACACCACCACGGTCAGGTACTCCACCAGCTCCTCAATGGTCTTCAGGGATTTGGGGAATTCTGGAGGAAAAAAAAGAATAAAAGGGAATGAAGAATTAGATTTATTTGTGCATTGTGGGTAATTTATTGCTTTACAGAAGAGTGGAGCCAACCAGGAGGGAGGCATATGGTACAATTCAGACTTTTTCAGACCATTGACTTTAAGATGTTAATGGGGCTTTTGATCGATTTCTCTAACTTAAATGAGCTTTAAGTCATGTTATAATGCTGCTATTTCCAGTGTTGGGAAGGTTACTTTTAAAATGTATTCCCCTACAGATTACAGATTACATACCCCAAAATGTAGTTTGTAACGTAATCCACTGAATTACTTTAAGTGAGTAACATAATCTGAATACTTTGGATTACTTGATTTGCTGTAGAGAAGCAAAGACTAGGATATCTTCACATAAGATGCTTTTTCTGCTAAAAGAACATAAAAAGCACAGAGTTTACTTAACCATATTAAAAATATTATTGATAGAAGAGGAGGAGACACGGTCCATGCAGCATGGTTTAGTCCTGTTAAATTCTGTTTTAGACCTGGTTTAAATCTGGTTTTAGTCCTGGTTTAGTCCTGATTTAGTCCTAGTTTAGTCCTGGTTTAGACCTGGTTTAGTCCTGGTTTAGACCTGGTTTTAGTCCTGATTTAGTCCTGGTTTATACCTGGTTTAGTCCTGGTTTAGACCTGGTTTAGTCCTGGTTTAGACCTGGTTTAGTCCTGGTTTAGACCTGGTTTAGACCTGATTTAGATCTAGTTTAGACCTGGTTTAGTCCTGGTTTGGTCCTGGTTTAGACCTGGTTTTAGACCTGGATTTAGTCCTGATTCAGACCTGGTTTAGTGTCTGGCAATGAGTGTAATTACCAAAAAAAAAAAAAAAAACTGTAACTGTAACTGTAATCTAATTACCACTCATTCAAACAGTAACTGTAACCGAATACAGTTACTCATAATTTGTACTCTGATTACGTAACTCTGGTACATGTAATCTGTTACTCCCCAACACTGGCTATTTCCTCAAAAATATACCTGGAGTTGTGTTTTGTTTCATTCACACATTTAAGTAATCCTTTATTATTAGTCTGGCTACATTTCTTAAGATCAAAATGCTCTGTTCCAATTTATGATGTCATGTAGTGGTAGTTTTCATGTTACATTTTACCTTTAATTCAGTAGAGATTGGCTCTGAAATCATCCAAATGATTCTAGTGAAGATGTGTAAAGTTTCAAATCACAGTGGAGCACTTCCTGTATTCTCACATCACATCACAAAGTTGAACAGAGTGTTTTCTGTATAGGAGAAGAGCTCAGCCGATATATATTGTGCGTTAAACATGTGTGAATAAAACAAAACACAAATTCAGATATGTTTGTGATTACGAACAATATTTTAACAACAGGGTCACGTAGTCTGGTGTTTTCAGTCAGAGGAAGCAGCTCTCTGGTGAAAGTGTCTCTGGGGAAATGATGGTTTCAACATATTACGGTCACAAAGTACGTGCAGAAGTAATGTGTTTATTTGCGATAATTTTAAGAGCGCTGTGTAACCTTGTCTCCTTGTAGATCTTGAATGATTTGTCTGTAGAATGTTTAAAATGGTCACACATTTTTTATGCAGCACTTTTCCAGCTTTTCCAACTACCACTTCTTGACATCATGAAGTGGAACAGAGCATTTTGAGCTTTGGAGACGTAGACAGACTAAATAATAAAGGGTTACTCAAACATGTGGATCAAATAAAACACAACTCCGGGTATGTTTTTGAAGAGGTAACAACATTCTAACATGACTTAAAGGTTGTATGGATGATTTTTGTTTTTGTTTCAAATTGTCAGTGAAAGTTTAAAATACTGTTACAGAGACGCAGCAGCTTTGTAATTGTGATGACCAAAAAAAAAAAAAAAGAATGAAAATATATCAACTGTGGACATAGTGAGGCCAGATAAACATCAGTCAATAGAAAACAAGGCTGCCTCATTTTCTATTGGCTGTTAGGTTGTCAATCAAACTCCCTACATTTCTAGTGTAACTGACTCATCGGCGCGCTGGGATTACGTGGTTTATGCAGCGGTTCTTAGAGGCTTTTTCAAACTGTAGCTTCCTCGCAATTCGCACAAAGTTTGACGAGAATCCATGACCACTTCGGCGCAAAAGAAAGTCGGTTTTTGAGGTCGCTGAAAGAAGAAGAGAAGGGGAAAAGGAGCAAAGTCAAACTGAGGTGATTCTTGGAGATTTCTTCCAGCGATTACACGACTGAAGCAGACGAAGGGTCTAAAAACTGGTGCGTCGTTCGATAAATTATTTCTAGACAGGTCACTTCAACAGTAATTCTGAACACACACTGGCTGTAAACAAGCGTGATTTCTAGAGTAAGGAAAGGAGGCGGGAGGAGATGTTTCTACTGAGGGAGCTGTGGAGGAGGAAGGTGGTGTCACGCTTGCACAACATTTGAAAAAGGACTCTCGCTGTATTTCTCTTCCCTTAAAAAATCCTCTATACAACCTTTAAAGCTCACAAGAGTCAGTTTTGCATAACATAGCATCTTTAAGTGTAGGTGTTGTTGTTCTATGGACGCTGAGGTGGGACAAACCTACCACAGTGATCGAAGTCTTGCATGCCGAAGCTGCACACGTCTTTGACAAACGCCTGGATCTCCACATCTGCCTTAACAGCCTCATCGTTTTTGTAGTAAATGTTCACCACTTCAGACAAAACTGTAGAGAGAAGGGAAAAAGCATCAGTTGTATTCAATTCAAAGTCAAACGTTTTGGAACACTTTTTCATTTTTTTCTATGATTATTTGTGTTGCAGATTCTCACTGAAGGCATCAAAACTATGAATGACGCATGTGAAATGTAGTAAAGAGAGATAAACTCAAAGTGATTCAAAGCTTGTAGAGGGCAGGTGAAGATGTGAGTGAGGAACTGTGTACGGAAGTGTAAAAATGTCAGGTGCTCTACAAGGATGTGAACATTTACTAAGAGAGAGCCTTGGAAAAGTAGTCCCATTTTGAAATAAAGGACTTTTTTAACCAGGTCAGTCTGCCTCGGATCCTTCTGCCTATCAGCAAGGCAAATTTTAGCTCTCTCTTAGTAAATACGCAAAACTTGTTTCATTTTAAAAATGTAAATGTCCTTTGCTTTGAATGACGGTTTGCACTTTTCTTGACCCTGACAAGGCACAGCTGTGAAGAAAAAAATCATTTCATGAAGCTCAATGAAAGAAGGCCAAGGATTTACAGCGCTGTCAGCAAAGCAAAGGGTGCATACTTTGAGGATTTGAATGTAAAATATAACATATTTATTTGAGTTAGTTCATTTTTTTTCATTGCTACATCATTTCATATACAGTATCTTGCATCATATATCTGATGTCTTCCATATTTCCATATTTTGCCAGTTGTGACGGACCAAATTATATTCTGATTGCCATAAATCTCACAGTCTTAATAAACAGAGGTGGGGAATTACAAGTCGTGACTTGGACTCGAGTCAGACTTGAGTCACTATTTTTAGGATTTGAGACTTGACTTGATAAAATAGAGTAAGACTTGGAACTCGACTTGGACTTGAAGGTCAATGACTTTGGACTTGACTTGGATTTGAGACCTCTGACTTGAGATGCACTTTTAAATCTGAATTGTTTCTATTCTGACTGTAATGATTCACACTAAGATCTTGTGAAGACATTTAAAAAGGAAACATTAACATTTCTGTAACTCTTGTATACTCTATAAATACTCATAAATAAATATACTATGATTTTTTTAAGCACAATTTATCTTAAAATTCATATAAATTGCAAAAATCTAAGATATATTTGGTGCTTTGTTTTAAAGACTTGAAATGACTTAAAACTTAGCAAACGACTTGGACTTGACTTGGACTTATGGGCCAGTGACTCGAGACTTGGACTTGTCTGTATTTGACTTGGGACTTGACTCAGACTTGAGATTTACTTGAGACTTGCAAAACAATGACTTGATCCCACCTCTGTTATTTAATAATAAATGAATCCTGTTATAATGTAGGCATGGTGAGTAAATAAACTAATAAGCAAACACAAACTCATTGTCTAACATCTCGAGCACAGACTTGTATTTCATTGTTTTTATTTTATTTTTTAAATGTTTATATATTTGTGTTTTTATTAAAGGGACAATGCATATTAAAGGACAAGATAATGCAGAAGAAAAAAAGAAAAACATTAGTTGTAAATATGCCGAAGCTAATTTCCATCCTTATTTTAGTTCCATTTCCATGTACAAGTCACCCTTATGTAACAGATAATACTCCCTACAACTGTACAACACACCCTTATGTAACAGATAATACTCCCTACAACTGTACAACACACCCTTATGTAACAGATAATACTCCCTACAACTACAACTGTACAACAACACAACAACCTTATGTAACAGATAATACTCCCTACAACTGTTAACAACAACCACCTTTATGTAACAGATAATACTCCCTACAACTGTACAACAACGCACCTTTATGTAACAGATAATACTCCCTACAACTGTTCAACAACTCACCCTTATGTAACAGATAATACTCCCTACAACTCACCATGATGTAACAGATAATACTCCCTACAACTGTACAACAACTCCCCTTATATAACAGATAATGTCCCACCTCTTGGTAGCGTCCCACACCAGGTATCCGTCGTCTCTGTAGAAGTATGTGGGCACCTCTTCGGGGTTGTCCATCCCTCGAGCTTTGATCATGTCGGGGAAACACAGGGACCTGAAGGTGAGGCTCTTCACAGCTTTCTGCACCAGCTCCACATGCCCTCCTCCTCCTACGGCATTAGCCTGGCACACACAAGGACAGACATCAGGGTTAATCTACTCACGGACATAAGGATGGAAATTAACCTTAAGGAAGACCTAGATTATGCAAAATTGACTCTTTAAGCCAGGGGTCACCAAACTTTTTTCTCTGGGGGCCACATTATCGCTCCTGACTGTGATGGGGGCCGGGGTGAGGGTCGTATAACAGAATTGTATGACCCTGACGACGCAGATTATATTCTTTGAAAACAACAACAGTTCTTACACTTAACAAAAAAAGAATCGGTCGTCCACTATTCTTTGAAAACTCGACACTCTCTGTCAACTTGTCATACTTTAAAACGAGACATTTTACTGTCTTTAACTGCACTACAGAACTCTGCACATGCGACTCTAACTGTTTGATCTTGAGTTTGTCAGGTGATGAAAATTTGGTGGCAAATGTAAATACATCATATAATTATTTAAATAGAATTAATAATACTTCATATAAATATATATATATATATACATCTGTATCTGTGTGCATATGGGTCCGGTCAAGCAGTAACGGAGGAAACAGGGGCAGATTTTTGACATTCAAATGTCTCTTATTCAGAAACTAGAGGGACTATTGAAATAAGTAAAGTATCAGAATGTAGGAAAGAGTTAACACTCCAACAGGGTAAAGTTAACCCTGCGATATTCTTTCAAGTTGTTGACAAAAAATTTAAAAACTCATGTCGGTAACGGAGGGAATGAAATATGCAACATTTTTGGGCAATAAATACAAACAGTGATAACTCTTGGTTCTCACTTACATATCCTTAACAAACTGGTTTGAATATTTGCTTCATATAGTTTTCTACCATATGGTACAAGATTAGGTTGAAAAACCTCTTACTTTTTGACTCATGAGATTTTTTATTAAGAAAGGTCATGGTAACGGAGGGAAAAGTAACGGAGGGAAAATTGTGTAAGCAAGTAAAAGGTGCATGATTTTACATAATTTGTCGCTTTTTTCTTCCGAATACTTTAATATTACTTCAAAATGAAACGAAACTATTTCTATAAAATATGTCAGTCCTTCCAAGCAAATTTTTATCATTTTAAATACATAAAAAAAAAAAAAAAAAAAAAATCATGTACCTTCATCAACAGTTCAAAGATGGAATAACACAAGATATGATGAAATACATCCATTTATTTACATGATTTGCAGGTCTTTGAAATTTGGGAAATAATTTTTGTTCCATGTTTCATACATGGTCTGTTTAAAACGTATGGAACTTTAGAACCAAAAATGGCACAGAAAAAAGGTAAATAGTTTCATAAACTAGAGTACATATGTATCTGTTGAATACATTTTTATATCAGATGCATTAACTTGAATTTTTGGTCTTGCTGTTTACTTCTGCTTGACTGGGCCCATATATACCTTGTGTTCTCTTCTGCCCTTTGTTGGTCCATTGTCTTTGTCAGTATAATGTTTCTATTTTGGATATTTGTATTTGGTTTCTTCTGGTTTTTGGTTTTGTTACATTAAACTACTGTATTTTGGGTCCTCTCCTGTTTCTGACAGAAGGTGTGTAGAGTTTAAAAAAGCACTTCCTGTATTACCACATGACATAACAAGGTAGAAGACCTATTGTGCTTGTGTGTTATATAGTTAGTCTGTGACACACATTTGCACATTTTAAATCACAATATAATCTAAAATGACACAATAAAAGAAATAAGTTAGCTGATTTTCATGTTAGAAAACTGTGGTGCCCAATGGGAGCTGACATCATCGTAAATGTCATCACAACAAAGAGCTGTACAGTTGTCAGCACCTCCAATTAGATAACTCCATCAAAACTGTGTAAAATGCACCAATATGACTGACTCCCTGTACTGACTCTGTCTGTGGCTCTTCAGAAATATTTAAAAGTGCACTGCATAACTTTTCTAGTGAGGGGTAAATCAAATGCTTTTCTTTATGTAAATGTTATTACTTGAATATTCCACAGTATGGCATTAAACCTTTCTATCTCCATGGAGACAAAACCTGGCCAAGGTACAGGTCAGATCTGTGCATATTCTGTCACAGTCAGAATGCCTGTTTTTTTTAAATATTTTTTAGCTAAAAAAAACTCCTGTAAGTGAATAAATGTATGGAAGAGCTGTTTAATGTCATAATGTGGAACATTCCAGGCAGAGCAATGACATATCCATAGAAACAAGCACAGGTCCTCAATGAAAACCTGTGCTTGAAAGAGTAGTGTATTGCTCTGGCTGAGTCTCAACAAAATGTAATCAAGCAATAATATTTACACATGAATATTTTCTGGACTACTTTTTTGTTATTGTATCCTCACCTTATCGAAGATTCCACACTCACAGATGAGCTGCTCTCGGGCCTTGGTGTTGATGGCGATGGTGAAGCGGACGTGAGGAATGATCAGCTAAAGGGAAAACAAAACAAATCAAACCAATGAGGAAACAAATAATTGTGATTTTGATGACAAGTATTGCGATTATATTTACGATTTGTGTGTTAAACAAGCACAATCAGAGAGAGCAACCTGGTCCCCCATAAGGCATCGTTGGGATCAGTTCATCAGCACAGAAGCAGCTCATGAGGAGCCCAGCCCATATTACATGATCTTTATATCCACAATGCAATGTGTGTATGTGTACAGGCCCATGAACATTTGTGTGATACTGGTCACACATGAGAATGTCTGTGTTTACTAGTGTGTAACAAGAATGTAATTTTTGATGAGTTGTGTATATATTAGTTGTGTGACTGTAGATCAGTGTGTTGTATATCACCAGAAAAACAAGAAATGGAAATTATTTTGGTTCCAATTAGAATTTTCACAGCATACACTGAAAGAGGAAGGAAATGTTATAATTTGTGATTATCTTGAAAACTATTAATATTTTTCTATACAAATGCATAGAATTATAAATAGATAATCATTTTTCTGAGAGTTTGAGAGCACTCCTGTTGCTCTGGCTCGATCTTAGGTGGAGTTATGACCAAAAACGCATATTTGACCTTGGTTACCTTGACCTTGACCGGTTTCAACCTGTAACATCCAGTGTGCCCCGGTTATGTGTGTGCTAACTTGTGTGATGATTGGGTGAATATTTTAGCCCGCAGATGGTTCAGAAATTGCCAAAATTGCCTGTTGACCTTTCAATTGACCTGTGTGACCTCAAATGATCTTGGATCTTCACCAAACTTTTTTTGCAGTATCGGGCACGGGGGCTTGACCTACGTACCCAATTTGGTGACAATCGGTCCATAAATGGCTGAATTATCGTGGGTGGACAGACACACACACACACACACACAAACACACAGGGTGAATACAAAACCTGGTCAACCCTTCGGGGACCAGGTAATAATAGGAATTTGTTCAAAGTTCACATATTAAAGGGCCCCATATTATGCACTGAAAACACTGTTCTGCTTTGTGATGTCACTTTATATAATTTCACTAGATTCATTTATAGCATTTCAGCTCTGAAATTGTCAAACTCTTCTGGTTCGATCCTGGGCCCATCCTTGTTTAATCTCTACATGCTGTTGTTAGGTCACTTAATACGCAGCAATAATGTGTCCTATCACAACTCTGCAGATGACTCTCAAGACTATGTCTCACTGCAGCAGGAGACTATGCACCAGTGGACTCACTCTGCCACTGCATCCACCAGATCAGTGTGTCGATGCAATACAACTTTCTCCAGCTAAACTCAGACAAGACACAAGTCATAGTGTTTGACCCACAGAAACAGACAGTGTCACCTCCAGTCTCTCTCGAAAACCTTCATATCAGGCATGAAATCTAGGGGTATTTATGGACTCAGACTTGAACTTTAACAGCTACATCAAATCAGTAACATCTGCAGCCTTTTACCATCTAAAAAAGATAGCAAAAATCAAAGGTTTACTGTCTAAAGCAGTGTTTATCTCCAGTAGGTTAGACTGTAGACTGTAACAGCCTCTCACTGGCCTTTCCATATGAGCTGTGAGATGCTGCAGTATATCCAGAACACTGCAGCTCTTGACTCGAACCAGGAAGTACAGGCACATAAATCCTATGCTCATGTCTCTGCACTGCCCCCTTTGGCCCAGAAAATAGACTTTAAAGCGGCTCTGCTTGTGTACAGCACCAAAGTACATCTGTGACATGTTAGGGCCACATGATCCATCTCGCACTCTGAAGAGCTCAGGGACCAGCCTCCTGCTCGTGCCCAGACTCAGGACTAAACACAGGGAGTCAGAATTTCTGATCCATGCAGGTAAAACCTGGAGCAGTCTTTCTGAAGATGTGAGACAGACGTCTACTTTGACGCTGTTTAAATCCAGGCTCAAAATGGTTCTGTTCAGCTGTGCATATAACTGAAAGGTTTTCATACTACACTCTTCTCTCTCATTTAATGTCTCTCTCTGTCTTTTTGTTTGTTTGTTTTTTAAATGATGATTATTCATGTTTTGATTTGTTTGTATTATAATTTTAATGTCTTTCGTAGAGATTTTTTTGGGGTCACCTGATATGTGCCTGATATGTGTGATGTGCTCTCCTCCTGCACCTGGACTGGAACGCGCTACAAAAACACAGACAGGCCCACCTATCTCATTAGAAATTTTGAAATGTTACAACATGTTATGCATAATTTCTAACTTTAACTAAACTATTTTGTTCCAACATTACTGGTTCAATTGAATGTTGAAAAGCAAAAGAAATGTTCTATATTTAATGTCCAAATAGGCGACTTATGGATCCTTTTGTTGCTGCTTCAGTAACTGTTTTTGATTGTTTAAAACTTGAATAATACTAACTGTTCAGAGAGACACAAACACTCAGTCAACAATAAAATATCCCCATTAATGTTCAATAAAGGTCAGATCCACCTTTATTTTGAGATTTATGAATAATGTCTATTGACTTGGGTCGTGAAGGTTTGTGACTTTTTAAATATGGGCCCCCAGAAAAAAAGTTTGGGAAACATTGCTGTAAAGCACTTATAATACTTTGCAGCTGATGTCATCAACATTAGCAGGGTTGTGATGCTAACAGTAGGCACGCTCTGTCTGAGGCTTGTTAGACTTTAATCTGAGCTTTATTTTAGCACAATCTGACCAGAATGAACTCACTTAGTTGTAACTACAGCAGCTGAGCTAATTTGTGCTGTACAAGTCCTGCTCAAATAAAATTCCAGTCACACGTTAACTAGCATTAGGTTTTCAGTTAGTCACTGTGAGATTAAACTCCTCAACAGAACCATGAACGCTCGTATTGATCACAGGCTCCGGAAAATGTGCTGTTTAAATCCATTTTGTATGCTTTCTTAAGTTTTCAGACTTTCTTAAAACTTTTTTGGCAGTGTTTGCCCGAGTGTACATTTTTTCACAATGGAAACTGCTGAATGTTTCCCATACACATAAATGTAAAACACCCCCAGCATGATGCCACAGCAGAGTATCAAAGTGTGAAGGAAATAAATTGCAGCCTCTTGATAACTGCATCTATTCTTTGTGATTTCATTTTGGTGTTTAACTTTTCTGGTGGAGGGACCGTCAAATGCTGTTATTGTTTTGGAATGTTTCACAGTATGGCATTAAACCTTTTTATCTTCAAATCAGACCAAACCAAACCAAGTTACAGGTCAGATCTGTAGAGAGGCGACACTGCACAGTCAGAATGCCAGTTTTTTTTTTTTTTTTTTTTTTTTTGACCTATAAAACCACCTGTAATTAAATAAATGTAAAGTAAAGCTGTTTAATGTCATACTGTGGAACATTCTGACCAGAGCAATGACACAACCGAAAACTTACACAGTGCACCTTCTAAAAGTGCCCCAAATCTACCCCACCACCTGTACCTTAAAGACTGGGTGCACTGCCGCCAGCTGCCTGTACATGGCGATCCCGAACACCTCTGTCATCAGGTGGGCACGCAGGAGGTGGGTGATGGTCTGGTGGTAGTGGAAGTCCGTGGAGCGCACCCAGATCTTCGCCAGGAGCCAGTCGTACTTGGAGTCTGTGGGCAGGAAGATGGGGTTGTCTTCTCCTGGGGTCTGTCCGAGCTGGAGGAGACCATAGAGAGGTGAACTGGTTGACTGTTGTTATAAAATGAACCTGGACTAAACACCTAAACTCTGCACACAACCACATTTCAAATAGAGCTGAACTGTTATATTTACTACTTTCTACATATTAAATACATATAGAAGACGGCAAATGTGAAGTAAGATATATGAATTATGTAGCAAAGAAAAAAAGTTAAATAACTACTCAATATTTTTTGACAAAGCAAAGGGTGGCTACTTTGAGGATTTCAATATGTAACAAAATAATAGTAAACTAGATATTTATACTTTTTTGTTAAATAATTCCATAAATCTTGCTTCATATATTTTATGTCTTTCATATGTATATAAAATGTAGAACATAGTAAACACATAGAAAAACATTGAATGAATGAACTTTGATAGTGATAGTAGCTCTTTGCCCAATGCAGATGTCCTATCACCAGGCTCTCCAGTCATCCCTCGTGAGCCTTTGGACAAAGACATTCTCTTTGACTCTTCAGAGAAAAGTGAATGCTCCAGTCTAACGAGGAAGAAGTTGTCTCATCACCAGAACACAGGAAATCAAAACACGACTGGTCCTTCCTCTGTGCTAAGCTCTACAGTAAGTTAACATCAGTAATCCAAAGATATATTGTATTTTTTCATTATTTAACTATACAAACATGTGATGTTGTCTTTTGGTCATCTCAGTGAAAGTGATCTGATTGTTTTCTGCCTTTCAGCCAAAGTGTAACCCTGTCATCTGCATAGACACGCTGAAGTCCTTGGGTACATTGTAAGTACTAGAGACACTTGTTACCACATTGCTTCTGTCCCACTGCAGCCTGTACTGATGAACGTGTTTCTACTCTTATCTGCAGCCAAGGAAAAGAGCTGTACAGATGTGCAGCACCGGCCTCTGATTCCTCTACTATCCTGATCCCAAGGTAAAGAACAAGACCAGTTCTGCATTTAAAAATGTATAAACACTCCTTAGTCCCATGGAAGACCCAAGGCATATAATACACCTTTGTTCTCTTGTGGAATTATTACACAATCTAATAATTCTACAGCAATAATTGCCGTGTATGTCCTTGTAACACAGAGTGTTGTGTTTGTAGCAGGAGGAAGCAGGATGATGCGGAGGACAAACCCTACATAAAAAAGCCTCCCAATGCGTTTATTCAGGGCTGAGCAGAGGCCAAGGTGGTGCAGGAGCTCCAAAGCACCGACTGTACAAAAGTCACTGCAGTGCTAGGACAGAGGGTAAGTGGAACACACCAATCTACATTCATCACACACACACGGGCTTGGGTTCAGTCATGGACCGGTGGTTATGAGTACAGTTCACAAATGTAAAGTGTAACTGGTCATTTGGAGCAGATGTAAAAACAGAAGACAGAATCCCTGTTTAGCATGAGTCTTGTTCCTCTGCAGTGGAAGATGCTGTCTGAGCAGGAGCAGGCTCCATACTATGAGCAGGCTCACAGAGAGAGAAGGGCTCACGAGGCCAAGTATCCTGGATATCCCCACAGACAACTATTTAAGAGCATCACACAACACACATCTTATATACAGGAGAATCAAAGACATGTATTATACTGTACACACACATCTGGGTCATTTCAGTGCTTAAAATACACTCACTATTATGTCTCCAACTGCTAGTACCATCTTACCAAGTAGCCATCATACCTCTATGTACTCACAGTGAAGGGAAATTGAAACAACATTTACCTCATTTCAGGGCAAAAAGGTCAGGGGAAAAAAAGGAAAAATACCGCCCTCACAAACCAATAGTAGCTGCTTGGGACTTCAGCCTGGGCAACCCTGGACATTTAGACAGCACTTTAAGCTGTCAGCACAATAAAAAAAAAAAATCATTTCATTCAAATGATTCAGTTTGATCATTTGATACAGTCATTCATTCGTGTGTAAATGCAAAGAGGATACTAAATCCATTGGTATGGTTACAGCACATTTTGTCTTCACAATGTTGTGTTGGTTATGAAAGTGTAAACAATCAGGACTAAAACCTGAGAATAATAACTTTTGTCCCACTGTTAGCAGTGAGGGAAAGGACAGCTGGGTCAGAGCATGTCCAAACCTGCAGATCCTGTGGGGTGTTCGTGGTCTGCAGTGGTCAGTATCTGTCAGAACCTGTGCAGTTGAAAAAGCTTGTGATCAATTGAATGTTTGAAGAAGTTGAGGGGATAATGGATTCAAATGTCAGCTTTTAGCATTTGAACATGGGCAGGTACACTGAGTACTTTCACAGTTTGTTTACTTATCTTAAAACTGCATGTCCACCATGTGCGTTTGGGTTTAATCCGCACAAAAGGTTTAAAGCTGTTTAAAGTGGGACTACAACCACATTTCAAATCGAGCTGCTAAACTGGGCAGTGCTGGTAAAACTAAAGGAGAGAGTGAGGTGAGAGGAGGGGTGGGGCCTGGGAGTATAAACAACAGCGTAATTGGTCAGACAAGTATCCGTACTTCAGACTCTGCCCCTGCATCAGAAACCCCTGACTGTAACCCTGGGCTCAGGCTGTGGTGGTGCCGCAGATCTCCAGATTAATTCCATTGGGAGTCTGTTTTTTCCGGATGCTGGAGCCGACCCCAAGACTATTCCCTGAATAAATAAATCCTTATCACGTGGTCTCGCATGCGCAGTTTCAAAGGCGCTGACACAATAGCGCAGCCAGACCGGGTGCAGTCAGAGAAGTACTGTGATGTCACATAGTACTTGAAATTGCATGGGTCACTGTAATGCAATTTGTTTGTTGCAATCTGTCTGTACAAAAATAGCCAAAAGGGACTAGGAACAGTACACAAGACTATTGAAACACCATACATACAAGTAGAGTTAGTAGCAAAAACAAACAACAACAAAAAAAAAAAAAAACTGTCTAGTGTTTAGTTTAGTTCCATTTTAACAGACTTATACTAGGAATGTGTGAATGAAACAAAACACTACTCTGGGTATGTTTTTGATGAGGATACAACATTATAACAAAGAATCATGGATCACAAAGTTTAATGCAGGGACTTTGGTGGTACCTGGATGGCTATAGGCAAAATCTTGTTGCGCAGGTTCTTGTAGAGCAGGCAGATCGGAGCAGCTACGTACTGCAGAGTGCAAGGGTCTGTGCTGTTTGCAGTGATGCCGTCCAAAATCTCAAAGTCCACAATGTAGATGTTACCAGCCTGGAGGCAAATCACTTTATTAGGTAGGGCAGGTTAATTCACTATAATCTTGGGGGACCGAGCCTTTGCCATGGCTGCCCCCACCCTCTGGAACTCCCTCCCCCTTCACATCAGAAATCCAGACCCATTAAACACCTTCACTTCACTTTACTTTACTGTGAAGCATCTTTGCATTACAATGGAAAGTGCTATATAAAACTGATGTATTATTATTATTATGAATTTCGATGTACCTGTACCCGATTTTTCCTGTGTATCTGAACAAAATGTTTCTAACCCCAGTACAGATATAATGTGTAAGCAGCTCTCGAGGACATTGCTGTGTACCGTATTTTCAGCACTATAGGGTGCTCTGGATTATAAGGCACACAGTCGTTTTTTGATGAAATTAAAGGCTTTTAAGTGTGCCCAATAGTGTGGAAAATACGTTACTCTACATCTAATTATAAAGCCTGATATTGTCCAATAATCAGGAAGTGCGTGTTAGCATGCTAGACAGTCTGGTCTGTGGTCTGTTGTGTTTTGAAATGGGCTTGTAAACTCATTTTGGTGAATAATTAGGACACTCATAAGGTAAGTGAGGAAAAATTTATCTTACCACTGCAATTAAAAATAAATAAATAAAATAAGTAAAATACAATACAATAAAACACAATAAAAAATATTTTTATGTAAAAAAATAAAATAAAATAAATAAATAAAAATATTAATTAATTTAATTAAAAATAAAATAAATAAAGTAAAAAATTAAACATTTTATTAAAATAAAATAAATAAAATAAAAGTGAAGAGAGGAGCAGAGAGTACCTTGACTTCCTCCTCCAGTGTGAGCTCTCTCTCCAGGCTGACTTTAACCATCTCATCTGTGACTGGGAATTTTTCTGGGATTTTGGTGCACTTCTGAATCACCACAGGATTACAGCCGTTCAGGAACTGGTATCCAAACATGAAATCCTCCTGCCAGTGTTCCATCACGTACTCTGCAAACCACCATGGTAAAAAAAAAAAAAAAATGAAAACATGTCAAATCATTTATACAGTTGAGTTAACTGACCTGATATGGTGTTTTTGATTCTCACGAAAATCTTCTCAAAATCAGCAAAGTCACTCCAAGATGATTGGAACATGTGCATGAAGTGGTTCACAAAGAGGTTCTCAATGCTATAAAGAAGAAATCAACTGTCAGTCAATAATTATCAGGACATAATGCTTTACTGTTTTACATTTTCAAGCCAAATTATAATGAAATACAGTTTGTTTGTTTTTTCTAAAATGTCCTATATTACACAGAATGGACATTGTGAGCTTTAAGACATGTTATAATGTTGTTACCTTACCTCTACAAAAACAGGCCCAGAGTTGTGTTTTGTTTCAAACTCAGATGTTTAAGTAACCTTTTATCACTATTCAAACACGTCTCAAATGAAAAAGAAAATGCACACCAAAGTTCTTGTAGAGGTGCAGATGCAAGGAACAGCAATTAAAAGTTAAAAAAAGAAATCCAGAAGTGAAAAAATACATCCAGAAGTGATTCTTACCCACTCCACAAAGCACCCTAAGCAAATCTATTATTACACCAGACTGTCCATGTGAATGTCTGTGTTGATAGAATAATGTTTGGAATAAAACTAACCTTGCATCGCATGAATCGTCACATGTTGAGAGACTATTTTCTCATATATCAGTCCATCGCTGCCAAACTTTCTATCAGGAAGTACAACTCAATGCTGCTGCTCAGACATAAATCCTTCAAAAGCAAGGTTGGTTTTACTTCTAAAATTATTCTATCAACACAGACATTTACATCAACAGTCTGGCGTTATAATTGTTTTACCTTGGGTGCTTTGTGGAGTGGGTGAGACATAGGCAGGATAACTATGGAAATTGACATGCACTAGTCTAGCACCAGCGACTTCTGCAAATACAAGGACTGGAATGTTTTAAAAAAGTGTCTCCACACATTTCCAACACTCTGGCTCACTAGGAAATGAGGTCCTATGTCCAAAGTTCTGATCTGTCCCTTTAAGACTCTTGCCCCTCACGGACTTAATGTGAACTTTGACCTAAGATGCTTTTTGTCATTTGGTCAAACTATTTTTGTATTTTATGAGAATGTTTTTATGTAAATATCTAACTGTTTTCTTGTTGTAGAGTGGGCTGATGACCTCACATTCACAGATGGAGATATGAGCACCTAGCCTGATTCATCAGCCAGTTTCACTTTGTGGAAACAGTCTGACCTCACAGTGTTAGAATTCATTCGCTCAGTGGTAGGCAGGTACTTTTTTTAATTTATCCAATCGCTGCTATTTGGTTGTGACGTATATAATGCGCCACTAACAGAGTTAGCTTTTCCCAAATCCCGTAGGAGAAGTTCAATAACGTCTTTCCCCTTGATAAAATTCACCAAGCATTCTCTTTCTTCCAGCTATAAATCCTCGATCTGGGGAATCGCTGCCAACACAGACTGTCTGGCTCTTTGCTGTTTGGCTGGTGCCACAACTCGCGCTTCCGGGGTTCTTGCAAACATCTAGTGTACTCCAATTCCTGACCTAGTCGCTGGCGAGAAATCAAATTGAGCGGAAGCACTAGGTGGCACCAACCTGGCTAATGAGCACCTGGGCTGGCAGCCATTTTGTATATACTGTGGTCCAAAGCAAGAAAAATGATTTGACAAAGGCTTTTTACTGAAACGTAATTTAAAACTTAAAAAGCTTTTGGACATCAACCATCTGAGTGTGCTGTTCTAACATGTCTACCATAGCTTAAAATTCATAAGAATCAGTTTAATATAGACTTTTAAGTTAATAACCAACACAATGTAAATAGTATTGTCATAAAGGAAATCTGCACAAGTTAAGCTGTAGTTAAAATTCAACCAGAAAGATTTCTTTTTCATTTCTGACTCATTCATACCTCCTGTAAGCTGTTGATATGTCAGCCACCTTAACTTCTCGATCTCATCCTCTTCACCAACACTCTCTGGAGATATCTAGTGTAAAACAATCTATCACCCAACCCTTTATCTCACCAAAGTTTTTCCATTTTGTAAACTAATGAAATGAAATTGTGACAGTTTTTTCTTAATCCTTTTAACTCGAAACATATGGGCCCATCACTCACTCTGCCTCCTGTGTTTTCATTTGTGAGGACTATGCAAATATTTCTTCCGACAAACACAATGACTCGTCTGTGTCCGATCTACGGCATGAACACAGCGGGAGGCTCTGTGGAGTTCTACAGCGGACACATTTGAATACGTGAGTGGCCGGGACTGTTGGGGACATTGACGGGGACTTACGCCTTGCTGTAGTTGAGCACAAAGTCGACGCCCTTCTCGCTGTCGAACTGGATGTCTCGGGGCAGGTCTCTATGGTGGTTGGCGTCGATGCTCATAGGGAAACCGGGTTGCCACTCCTTCCACCTGAAATCGCACAATGCCACAGACTGTAAAGAAGTGAGCTAAGAACGTGTGACGTCAAATGAAGCTTGCGATGGTAGCACTTATAGGGACAAATTTGGAGTTCCATACTAGGAATAAACAAAAATAGTGAAAGAAAAACACCAGGGTCAAGTAGAAACACAAGATCAGACTTGGTAACTTGGTCTGTTGGTGTTACTTGCTTGTCTTCATGAAGATAAATATGTTTAATGCAATACTGAGGAACATTTCAATCTTAGGTATAGGTACTTTTATTGATTCTTCATAAGGAAACTCATTCTCTGCATGACTCAAACTTCACCCAGTGCCGCTGCAGGGTCCAGATCTAGATCTTGAGGTAGTTTTGTTCAGGATTTGTTCAGGATTTGTTCAGGGCTTGGTCAGGACTTGATCAGGACTTGTGAGGACCTTAGCTGGAGGATTTTCCCATGGTTCATGTTTTGAGTTGATGGAGAAAACCGGAGCACCTGGAAGAAACCTTCCAAGACCCCTGTTGCTAAAATTCAACCAGCGAGATTTCTTATCATTCTTGCCTCATTCCTGCCTCCTATAACCCATCACAGCAGCAGAACTATCAGCCACCTCAACTTCTCGATCTCATCCTCTTCACCAACAATTTCTGGACATATTTGATATAAAGCAATGCATCACACCCTCCCTTTATCTTATCTAAGTTTTTCCATTTGATAAACTAATGAACTGAAATAGTCAGTGACAGTTTTTGAAATCTCTTACAGATATTTCTCAATCCTTTCAGCTTGCAACATATGGACACATCACTCACTATGCAAATATTTGTTCTGACAAATACAATGACTACTCTATGTCTGATCGACAACATGACCACACAAAGAGTCTCTGTAGAGACATATTTTAATACATGAGCGCTGTGAATGAGGCTGGAGGATATTTCCTGTGGTGCATGTTTTGAGTTGAAGGGGGAAATCGGAGTGCCTGGAAAAAAAAACAAAAAACTCCCAGACACAGGCAAAACATGCAAACTCTGCATAGAAAAGCCTGAGTGATCTGGTAAACAAACCTGGAAAGCTGCATTGAAGCGTGAGAGCTAAACACAAAAGTGGCCAGAGCCTCCATCAAAAGTTACACTGTAATACTCCTTTAATAATGTTTGTAAGAACTACCGTAAACGCATTTTAGCAACGAGATTTCTTTGTTAAACCACCATATGTGCAAAGTTCATACATGTATTTTAATCATCAAAACAGTGAAAATGTCAAATGTATTTCTTCCACTAAATAAGCAACAAAATTGTAGTGCGGTCAGAAAAGAATTATAAAAAGATACCAAAAATACAGCAGCCCAAGTTTAGTATTACGATTACATTTTTGCTCATCCCTAATAAACATAATGTCTGACTATGGAGCCAGTACCTGTATGTTTTGCGTCTTGTGTCCAGCTCTTTCTGGCGGTGCTGTTTGACCAGGCTGATCTTATCGTCCTGGGGAAGGTGAGCTGTGAAACAACAGAAAAGCACAAGTCAAACGTAGTGAACAAAATGAAAACTAGTCATAGACCTCCTCTTTGTAACCCAGTTTGCCATACAACTCATTGGATTCTGTATTGAAAAGGTCAGATTTGTCCTGAGCATTTCATCCATCCTTCAGTGCCGCTGGAGCATTTCCACAGAAGCAGTGAGCGTGAGTCCTGCGCCCAAGGACCCATCTCTGTGATTTTGTTGCCGGGTTTGGTCACGACTACCTTAGAGTGCTTTGGCTGGAAGATTTTACCCATGATGCATGTTTTGGATCGATGGGGGTGCCCAGGAATGCCCAAAGGAAACCCACCCAAACACAGGGAGAATATGCAAACTCCATACAGAAAAGCCCAGGCGACCAGGGGATTGAACCCAGAGCCTTTTTGCCTTGAAACGTGAGTCCTAGCCACTCAGCCCCATTAGAAGATTTGGAATAGTGCGATCGCTAAATGACTGAAACATGCATGGATGACATATCAAACCTCTTCAGGCATGTTTCTGATGAGGGAACAATATTGAAACAAAACAAAACAAAAAAATGGATTTTGCATATTTTCCATCTTGTGCTTTTTTTTGAGACTTTACTCAGTAGGGGTGTGCAGAAATTTCGATATATATCGTAAGGTTTAAGGTGATGATACAGTATCGATATTGTGGGCTGCTGTATCGATATATCGCCAAGAGTATTTTGTGGTATATTTTACAAAATGATTTTGTTACAGTGTTACAGTTTTGTTCCTTGTTCAGAGAAAGGAAATATAAACTTTGTGCAAGAAGTGATTTAACAAAGATTTTTAGAATCACAGTCATGATTTAGCCTTTATTTTTTACCGAATCGTATCAAATCGATTTGAAATATGTTGTATCGAATTGAAAGTGCACTGTATTGAGATATGTATCGTATCGTGGCCTATGATTTGAGGTATGTATCGTATCGGCAGTTTCTTAATGATACACAGCCCTATTACTCAGTTGTAAATTGGTAATCCAAAAAAAACTGTACTTCAACATTCAAACCATACTTCAGCAGACCATTTCCCTGGCATGCACACTAACCTTTTCCATCCCTAAGCACGACCTCCTTGTCGTCAGTGAGCCAGCGGAAACAGGGGAACTCTATGTAGTCTCCCTCGGGAGTCTTGACGGTGATGTAGCGGCAGTACCAGTCATCCTGGACCCAGTATTTGTTCTTCTCCAGCTTCACCAGGACAATGTCTCCCAGGTTCTCCCCCACACGCACGTCATACGAGTCCACCTGACACACATGACATCACACAATGCTTCAAAGGGCCATATTATGTTATTTTCTGATCTATGATATTATGTTGTTTCTACATCACAAACAGACCCGGAGTTGTGTTTTGTTTCATTCACACATGTTTAACACACAAATCCTGCATTTAGACTGAGTTCTTCTCTGCTGCACTGTGTTTTTAAACTCCATACACCTTCACTAGAAACATTTGCATAATTTCAGCCCATCTTTCCTGCACAAAAGGTGAAAAAGCTGTTAAACTGAAAATCATCACAAGGTGGAAAAGAGCATTGTGAGCTTTGGAGATGTAAATAGACTAATAATGTAGGACTATTTAAACATGTGTGAATGAAACAAAGCACAACTGCAGGTATGTTTTTGAGAAAGTAACATTATAACATGACTGAAAGCTCACAAGAGTCAATTCTGCGTAACATAGGATCTTTACTAAAAGGAACAGATTGCAATACTTCATCATGCAATTTTAGCTTTAAATTGCGCAGTATCAGTAAATAGTAGTGACAGTAAGAAAACTGAAGAAACTGAAATAGACTTCTGGTGAGTGTTTGTGCAATGTTTCCTTCTCTAATTAGACAAATGAAGGCAAAGCAAAGAAAAGCTGTTTGTTATTTGTAATTACATCATGTGTTTTTCTCCACTATAATGCAAATCAGTGTAAAAGTATTCAGAATAAAGTTTTATTTATTCCCACCATTCCAACCCGGGTATTTCCCAGTTTTTGAAAATCTGGTTAGCTTAATGTAGGTCTATCCCAGTGGTGGAACATCACAAAGTAAAATTAGTAAAAGTATCATATTTAAGCAGAAAATGTATATATCTGTATTTTGCTTAAGTCAATTTTAAACAGGATACTTTTTACTTTTACTTCACTACATTTCAGAGCAGGTATCTGTACTTTCCACTCCACTAGATTTTTAACTGGACTGAAAAGTAAAAGTATTTTTATTATAGTTTGAGACCTGCTGGAAAGTCTGAGGGTTCATCTTTAATATATTCATAATTTGAGTAAACAAAAATATTCAAATCAAAACAGCTACAAAAAACAATTGATTCAGTTGTTTCTGTTTATCAAAATTCAGCACAAAGTTTGAAGCTTTATTAGACTTCTGAATCTGTGGAAAATGCTTTTAGTTCTTTACTCTCTAAGTGCATTTTTGAACGTCCACTCCATAGAGATGTTATTGCTTTATCTGGAATGTTTCACAGTATGGCATTAAGCTTTTCTATCTCATGGAGAACAAACCAGACCAAGTTATAAGCCAGATCTGTGGAGAGGCGACCCCGCTCACAGTCAAAATGCCTGAGGTATTTTTGAGCTATAAAACCACCTGTAATTGGAACATTCCAGGCAGAACAATGTCATGTCCACAGAAAAAAGCAGGTGACGGATTTACTTTTACTTGAGTATTTTTTGCTCCGTTTTTACTTAAGTAATAAAATTGAGTACTTATTCCACCACTGTCTATCACCCCAACCAGGGTATGTCTCAGTTTTGAATTTTGAAAACCCAATCACCCTAGTATAGGTCTGGGGGAGCAGCACCGGTAAAAGGGACATTGGACGGATTGAGAAGAGACATTTGTCACAGTGAGGGACAAGAGGACACTGGACAAACGGCTCTCCATCATGGACACTCCTGCTCACCCACTGCACTAGACTATAGCTGGACAGATAATACTCCTTACAACTGTACAACAACTCCCCCACTGCACCAGACTACAGAAAGACAGATAATACTCCCTACAACTGTACAACAACTCACCCACTGCACCAGACTACAGAAAGACAGATAATACTCCCTACAACTGTACAACAACTCCCCCACTGCACCAGACTACAGAAAGACAGATAATACTCCCTACAACTGTACAACAACTCACCCACTGCACCAGACTATAGAGAGACAGAGGAGCTCAAACAGCAAGAGATACAGGACTACATTCATACTATAATACTCCCTACAACTGTAAAACAACTTACCCTTATGTAACAGATAATAATCCCTACAACTGTACAACAACTCACCCTTATGTCAAAGATGATACTCCTCACAACTGTACAACAACTCATCCTTATGTAATACATAATACAGTCTACAACTGTGCAACAACTCACCATTAAGTAATAGATAATACTCCCTACTACTGTACAATAACTCACTTTTAAGTAACAGATAATACTCCCTACAACTGTACAACAACTCACTCTAATATAACAGATAAAACTCCTTACAACTGTACAACTCACCCTTATGTAACAGATAATTGTCCCTACAACTGTACAACAACTCATCATGATGTAACAGATAATACTCTTTACAACTGTACGAAAACTCACTCTTATGTAATAGATAATACTCCCTACAACTGTATATATATATATGCATATAAAATTTTTTTTTCTCTTTGTCATTCTGTGATGTGTGAGCTGCTGTGTCCGAGTCATTTCCCTTGTGGATCAATAAAGTTTGTCTAAGTCTATATATCCCTACAAGCCCGCGTTCCCCTGACAGAGAATCCTTTTACTCACCGCGCCTCTTTCAAAGTCATTGTAGAGCGGTTTGTCCAGCAAGGTCCTGTCACTGCAGCGCTCCGTCCCCACCAGCGTGATGTACACATAATCATCCGTCCCTGCAAACCACTGGCTCCCCGTGGCCACAGTCACTGTGTACACTGGCATGGTATTCAGCTCCTTCACGTACCTTCAAATACTTGCAAAAAATCTGCCACACTGAACAACGCACTTTATCTTTCTGTTGCTCAAGCCCACAACTTCTCCTTCCTCAGTTTTACCAGGAGGCTGGGTCCGGTTACTCTCCACCCTGACTTCATCTAGGTCATGTTTTGTTCCTGTTGGTGAGGGTTGAGATTTGTAGATATGTGAAAGGACATAGCAGCAAAATGTGATACAAAAAATATGAAATGAGAATATGTTTTGATTGTACAGAGATAAATACATAGTGAAATATAAAAATAAACAGAAAAGGAAATACTGATATTATCTGGCATGTCATATTTGCCTTTCAAATGAGGTAGCAGATAACAGTACACTGGTGTGTTCTGTGAAATATATGCAAATAAAGTTTTGGTACAATACAAGGATGTTATGATTAGAATAATGCAACTTTTTTGGTTTGGACCTAAAATAAAAATTGTTGTAGTTGTGTAAGTTGGAGCAATGTCTGAAAATTGTATGTTAAAGGTCTAAAATTACACAAAATGGATTCTTGTGAGCTTTAAGCCATGTTATAATGCTGGTATCTCCTCAAAAACATACTTGGAGCTGTAAACACCAAAACAGGATCATGAACACTTGTACTGATCACAGGCTCCTGGAAAAAAAAAGAAAAGAAAAAAGGTTTAACTCAGTTTAAAGTTTTTGTTTTCATACTACAAACTTTTTTGTGTTCATTGTGTCTCCATGGTAAGTGCTGAACATTCCACCACAGAGATACATGTAAGACACCCCTAGCGTAATGTCACTGCAAAGAATGAATACCATTACCTGATCCGGCAGTTTTTCCTGGATGGGTGCTGATATGGTTCAATACCAGTATATGGGTTTTTGTCATAATTTTGCTTTTGTATCCCAACAGTAACTCCACTGAGAGAATAAAAGTTATTTCATAAAAAAGTTGATAAGGAAATGCTAGAAATAATTTACTTGAATGTGTATGGTCTGAGATAAGCATAAGAGAGATGAGTGTGTGACTGTGAAGTGAAGGCTATTGTAAAACTATGGGAAAATCACATCACGTTGTGTATTTACCATGGAAGAGAATCAGAGTGGAAAAAGGTGCTTGCCCTCTACGGGTGGGTGGAGAGTTCCTGCCTCAAGTGGAGGACTTCAAGTATCTCGGGGTCTTGTTCACGAGTGAGGGGAGGATGGAGCGTGAGATTGACAGGCGGATCAGTGCAGCGTCAGCAGTGGTCGCTGACCATTGTGGTGAAGAGGGAGCTGAATCGAAAGGCGAAGCTCTCGATTTACCGTCAATCTTCGTTCCTCCCCTCACCTATGGTCATGAGCTCTGGGTAGTGACTGAAAGGATGAGATTGAGGATACCAGCTGCTCCTTCACGTAGAGAGGAGCCAGCTGAGATGGCTCAAGCATCTGTTCCGGATGCCTCCTGGACGCCTCCCTCAGGAGGTGTTCCGGGCATGTCCCACCGGGAGGAGGCCCCGGGGAAGACCCAGGACACACTGGAGGGACTATGTCTCTCGGCTGGCCTGGGAACGCCTCGGGGTCCTCCCGGAGGAGCTGGAGGACGTGTCTAGGGTGAAGGAAGTCTGGGAGTCCCTGCTTAGGCTGCTGCCCCTGGATAAGTGGAAGAAAATGGATGGATGGATGGAGAATCAGACTGAACTGTAGACAAAAGTAAAGGGTGTTATTTCAGGGCTCCAATGATTAATCGACTAATTGTAACTAGAATATAAAAACGAATCTTAGTCGTGTTTTGATAATTGCTATCTGGACTATATAAACTCAAAACACAGACAAAAAGACATGTAATAACAAAGACAGAGTTTTTTTTTAAGTCAAAATGTAAACAAATAAATAGCAATTTTGGATTTTCATCAATAATACACTTTATTCATAAATGTTCTCTATTAAGAAGCATTCAGTCAGCACATTTCAGTCTTTATTTATCGTGGGTTAAAGGTGCTATAAGACTGTTGTTCCTGATCAAAAACATCTCTTAAGCTCAAAAGGTTCTGTTCCACTTTGTGATTAATTTACAGCTACTTTTTACACTAAGTTGTGGACCAAACTAAATATTTATTGAAAATTTTCAACATCTGCATGTTTTCTCTTCTTTCGAGACATGTAGTGTTAAACCTTTTCTTATTAAAATAAATGTTTAATGATAGTTTTGCTTAAACAAAACAGAACAAGCATAATATAAAATAACAAAATTTCAAAAAATATTGTCTCTATAGTCTATCTGTAGCCGGAGAGCCAGCTCTAATACATATTTGATATGTTCTCCCGAGCCAAATATAATTATATCATGTGCCAAATTTGGCCCCCGGGCCTGAGTCTGACATGTCTGAGTTAAGATTATCAGCGCTGATGTTATAGGGAAGTTCAGTTAATAGTATCTATGTTTTGTTCAGTACTCCCTCTAAGTTTAACCAAGTACATCTGCCCTACCTCTACAGAACAGGGTTTTTCATCTCTTGTATTCTTAATGGTATGTTTTCAATATACTTAACTGTAACTGTTCACCTCATTATGATTTTTTTTCTTATTAACCATAATCTCCAGATAACATTTTTGATAAGGAAACAACATTATAACATAGATCAGAAAATAGCAAGACATGGGCCCTTTATGGTGCAACTTTTCTGGTGGAGGCTCTGTCAAATGCTTTTCTCCATGGAAGTACTTTGTCTGTTTGTTTCACAGTATGTTATTAAATCTTTCTATCTTTGTGGAGAGCACACCAGACCAAGTTACAGGTCAGCTCTGTGGAGAGGCAACACCGCTCACAGTGAGAATGCCTGTTTTTGTAGAAGTTATAAAACCATCTGTAATTGAAAAAATGTAAAATAGAGCTGTTTAATGTCATACTGTGTAACATTCCGAGCAGAGTAATAACATCTCCATAGAAACAAGCAGGTGATGATGGACATAGTGCACCATTAAGGCAAAAAGCAGACACGTATTCAGTATTATTCAAAGGTGTTTAATGAGCACATGTCTGTACATAGAAAAATGACAACAACAAAAAATCCATTGTTCAGTCTAACATCACTGAACCCAAACCCTTTAAACACCTTTGTAATGTCTCATAAGGTGCTGCTTGGCTGTTTTTTCCTCGAGTGATGCACAAAAGAGGAAGCCACTGTCTGTGTGAATGTTTATGTATGTTAACCACTGGTTGTGCAACTTAATAGATGCACAATCAGTAGTTTGTCTAGTCTTAATGGACTTGTATTACACCATTTTCTGATCTATGGTATAATGTTGTTTCCTCATCACAATCATACTTGCAGTTGTGTTGTTTTTTTTCATTCATTCATGTTTGACAGACAAATCCTGCATATTTAGGCTTAGTTCTTCTCTCAGACAGAAAACACTCCACCTTGTTCCACCTTGTGACGTCATGTGGTAATAGTCCTTCAGTGTTTTTAAACTCCACGCACCTTCACTAGAATCACCTGGATAATTTGATAATAGAATTGCCAATCTTGACTAAACAAAAGGTAAACAGTAACTCTTAACTTGAAAATTACCGCTTCGTAAAATCACAAGGTAAAACAGAGCATTCTGAGCTTCTGAGATGTAGATAAACTAATAAACCAGGATTACTCAAGCGTGTGTGGATGAATAAAAAACAAAAAACAACACAACTCCAAGTATGTTTCTGAATAGATAACAACATTATAACACGACTTAAAGCTCACAAGAGTCAGTTTTGTGTAATAGAAGACCTTTAACATTAGTCATAAACACTAGAAATATTGTGCTGCACTGTTTTTTATGAAATACTTATAATATAAATATAATATAAAGTACCATAGTTATTACAGAATATTGCAAATAAGGTGATGTTACACAATCACAAATTGTATACTGGTAAACTACAACAATGTTTATATCATATATTTTACATACAGCCAATCATGTTTACTAATTGAGTTGAAACCCGTATATATATATTCAAATGTCTCTTGTTTCTCATCTTATTGTATTAGTTAAAGTGCAACTAAATCCACGTTTTTCTGCGCTTGAATTGTGTATTTGGTGTGTTAATAGTATTATTTAATGTGCAGTTTTAGAGCGAACTAGGTACATTTGCAGCTTTCAGGTCAAAAATACCTAAATCTTAGTGGCTTCTAATTAAGATGAGAGCATCATCAGATGATTTGAAATACAGACCTGCAATTCTTACCTACACAGACTCTCTCCTCTTAAGATAAACTATTAAATCTGTTAAAGTGGAAAATGTGGCCAATTGTTTCTTAAACACTCAGACCCCGCCCCTCACGCTCCCCTCACTCATTCCTTTATTCTTCCCTTTATTCCTCCAGATACCGCAGAGTTTAGCAGCTCTATTTGACATGTGATTGTTGGCAGAGTTTAGGTGTTTAGTCCCACTTTAAACTGCAGTTCGTCTCTGTTCTTCTAAATGAAAAAGCAGAACTGTCAAACTATGAAACACAGCAACCAAGTTATGATGCAAATCAAGGCAAGACAGAACTAAACATTGGTATCTGAAATTCTGTGGATTTGAGCATGTATGCAACACAATTAAAACAGCTTGCATCACTACCGGCTTTGTATAAATAATAAATGCATTTGTGGCTATACAGTCTGGTGGTAATGGTAGACCATTTTGTGTGCTATTCTGCCACCTAGTGACAGAAAAGGTTAAAACAAGAAATTCAAAAGATAAGTGCAATTTTTCATTTTTTTTTTCAAGAGACTAGACAAAATCAGTGCAAATGTTTTTCGGAAGTAATATTTAAAGCAGTAGTTCCCAATCATTTTTACTGTACTAAATATGTATGGAGAAAACTACATAGCAGTATGTAGTTTTACACAAAAAAACTACATACTTTTATGTATACTTTTATACCAAAAAAAAAAAATAATATATGCAAATACAAATACTACTAATATCTTTATCATTAAAAAATCTACTAATGAATGAATGAATGAATTGTTTGAGAACCACTGCATTAAATAAAAACAAAACATAGGCAAACATTAGAACATTGTTATCTATAAAAACATTTTATCCTGAATATACAGAAAATATAGTACATGACTTGCCAAATCCAGAATTCTCTCTTTGTATTTTTTATACACAGATATCCGTCTGGTCCTCACGCCCTCCATTACGCCTGGATCCAAAGCCATAAGTGATTGGCCAGTCAGACTCGTTTATTTCAGTGACACGTGAAACAAAGAAGCTCACTGGTCATCCATCATTTACACAAACAAAATTACATTCTGCAGAAATTCGCAATTTTTTACCTTTTTTCCCCTGTTAAGCAGTTACATTTGTAACTGCTTAACAGCTCATACATGCCCCTGATTGGCTAATCCATCTGTCAATCACGCCCAATCAGCTCATACATGCCCCTGATTGGCTAATCCATCTCTCAATCACGCCCATGTGAACCCAATTTGCCAGTGACCAGACTAACATCTCTGTTAAAGAATCCAAATTATGCTATTTTCTGATCTATATTATAATGTTGTTTCCTCATCGCGAACATATCTGGAGTTGTGTTTTGTTTCATTCACACATGTTTAACACACAGACTGCATATTTAGGCTGCGTTCTTCACTCAAACTGAAATCACTCAGTTTCACCTTGTGATGTCATGTGACGAAGGTGATGAACACCTTCACTATAATCAGTTGGACTGTTTCAGCCCTAGAATTGCCCATCTCTATGAAACAAAAGGTAAAAGGCTTCATGACATCACATGTGAATAAAAAAAACCTCAACTTCAAATAGGTTTTAGATGAGGTAATAGCATTAAAACAAGGTTTAAAGCTTACAAGAGTCAATTTTGAGTAATATATGTCCTTAAAGTATTGAAGAAGTGTTGTGTGAAGTGAAATATTCTGGATCCCAGGCAAGTACATGACATGTACCAAACAAAAAAATCCTAAACCAGTTTCGACAAACCAAAAACAAAGAAGGCAAAGAAATACCAACTTCAAGCACACTTACTGACAAAATAATTTAAATTAAACTAAAATAAAGGCAAAATTCCAAACTATTTCCAAAATTCCCTTACATTCATGGAAGCAAATATTTGGATCTTGCTGCAAAGTTATGAAATTGTGCTTTTGTGAAGAAAAAATTGTTGTCCTCTCAAATACCTCTCAAAACTATTATACTCAGTCTGACGATTCTATAGCAAAGAAATGGGATGGGGCTACCTAGCTTACGTTTGCTATTAAGACATAATGCAGTCTAAAGTCTATTTAAGTCTAGTTGAGGTATAGGACCTGCTTCATGAACTCGTAGACAGTGAATGCCACGGCCTGGGAGGGCACACAGCGGATGTAGTTGAGAGAAAGGCCTCGGTACAGTCCTTTTTTGATTCCATATGTTTTGTACACATACTTCAAGGTCTTGGTTAGATTTCTGCAAAGAGAAAGTAGCAGTCGTGTTGAGAATATAAACTAGAAAATATACAGTAGTGTAAGAGGCTTTATGTGCATGTTAATATCAAGTATTTTCCTACAGCCAATAATTATTTTATAGTTCTTCAAGTGATAAAATCCTGATACTCATTTGGACCTGGTTTAATGGTCAAATTTTTACAGTGCTTTTCCACCTTCAAGACACTTCAAGACAGCACTTTACATCACAGAACCATCCACCCACTCACACAAATTCACAATCTAGTGTACGCAGACACTGAGGGCGAGGCGGGTTAAGTGTCTTGCCCAAGGACACACTATGGGAGCTGGAATTGCACCGCTAACCTGTGGGCCAAAGGGTTCTCAAACACCTAAAGGCGCCGTATTATGCTTTTTTAAATCTATATCATAATAAATATAGAATTTTGGCATTATACTTTGTTGTGTTCATGATATCTGTGCATAAATTATCCTACAGCAACAATTCTAAGGATGTAAAATATACTACAAAGAACATGTTGTATTCAAATATGATTAAATTCCAGGTTTCGTTTAAATCTGAAATTATTCCAAGTGCCTCTTGACAAGAGTTACCCCAGGCTCAGCTTTGTGGATTTTCAATTTGAAGATGTCAGGGGATGGAGACAAGAATCTAAACTACCTGTGTAGAATATAATAGTCTTGGCTGGCCTTACTAATAGGAGCTTACATAAGAAGTTTACAAAAATATTTACGCAGTCTTTACTTTTATTTGGCGGATACTTACACACACTTATCAGAATCTGGAAGCACTGCCCCTAACTGCATTCTTCTTCTGGCCACATCCAGCGGATATCTGTCAACACATTTCAGATTTAGTGTAATATAGTGTAATAATATGTCACATCAACAGATCATAAATCAAAACATTCAGTAGGAGGTGCTGGTCAAATGAATACCTCACACTTGGACTCATTCTTTACATGGACCTTTACATGCATTCTTTATTTTAGTTGTTAATGGATAGCCCAAATGTTTCATCCCCTTCTATCCCATGAGGTATATATCGTCTTTTTCTTCCATTTTGAATTTGTTTTGTTTCCTTCACACATATGTATAACACGCATATTTTGGCCGAGTTCTTCTCTCAGACAGAAAACTGTCTGGTCTACCTGTGATGTCATGTGGCAATACAGGAAGTGCTCCACTGTGTTTTTAAACTCAACACACCTTCACTAGAATCATTTGGATAATTTCAGCCGTGGAATTGCTGATCTTTACTGAACTAAAGGTAAAAAGTAGCTGTTAACTTGAAAACTACTGCTTCATGACATCACAAGATGGAACAAAGCATTTTAAGCTTTGGAGATGTAGACAGACTAATAAACCAGAATTACTCAAACATGTGTGAATAAAACAAAACAACTCCAGGGGATGTTTTGGATGTGGTAACAACTTTCTAACATGGATTAAAGTTCATAAGCTTCAATTTTGCATAATATAGGGCTTTTAACCCATTCTCTCATATGTAATAATTTAATTGTCCTACAGTAAATCTCCCTTATTTTCTCAACAGTAATAACAGTGCCTTGTATTGACTTCACTTACGATATGGTCTGAGCGATGGCCCCAGCCACGCCTCCACACACCATGTTGAAATGGGCCTTCAGAACCAAAACATTTGGATTGTCTAAAGACGGGGTCCCCAGTGTGTCCGGGAAGTGTTTCAGTCCCAGACTCTTCAGAGTCCCGAATGTGAAGAAGGAGAAACCTAAAGACAGAATAGGTACAATGAAAAGTCAACAAAAATACATATATGTGTTAGTATTTTCTTTTTTACACTTTTATAAGGAATTTTATTGATACTTTGCAGTTACATCACGCTGGGGGTGTTCTACATGTATCTCTACGGTGGAATGTTCAGCAGTTACCATGGATACACAAAATACACACTATCAAAATAAAGTTTAAAGTCTGAAAACTCAAACTCAAAAAAAAAACCAACAACACACAAAATGGATTTTAACATTCCAAGAGTCTGTGGTCAATGAGTGTTCATGGTTTTGTTTAGGTGTCTGATTTTCAACAAAAAAGTGAGAGTGACTAAATGAAAAACTGTTGGCTAATGATATCTTGTGATTGTTATTTTTGTGAGAGAGACTTGTTTAACAGCACAGATCTTCTCACCTTTTATAGTCCCAGCTAAGTCTCCTATTTCTGTGTTTAATTGCAGCTCAGATTAAAGTTCAATTGAGCTATTCACACCCCCAGAGAATGTTCATGACATCAGCTGCAAGTATCAATCAAATGTTATCTCCAATTTTTGCATACTTAAGAAAAGGTGGCCAAGTTTCAAAAACACATATTGTTGACATTTACAAAACAACACCAACCTGAGTAAGGAGCCATTCCAATAATAGTTGGGGTCAGTCCTCTGTAGAACCCATGTATTCCTCCTTCCTTCAAAGTTGAAATGAATGTTTATTTAACAATATTAAAGATGCAATTAAAAATGTATGATAGATTTCTATTTCTATGCACTTGGCTAGAGATGGAGCAAAAAAAAAAACATTATATTGTGCACATTTTCTAAAGCATTAGCTCATTTACAGCAAAAGTTAATAGTACATTTGTTAGCCCTTTATAATGAATCAACCTTGAAATGTACCTTAAGATAGATTGTCTGAAAAGCATTTATAATTCCAGTGTAACGATGCTCTCCTTTCACTTGGAACGCCAATCTGGCACGGATCACATCCAGGGGGTAGGTAAAAGCCACTGCAGTCATACCTAAAAGCACAAAGGACTATCAGAATATGGACTATGAAATAATAGCTTAATGATTAATAATTGCTCAAATAACTGCACCCTTTTGCTATTTGCCAAATGAAGGTCATCAAAAGTATCAAAAATCAGATACTAACAAATACTAAAACTAGTCTCAACTCAATCATCATCCCAGTCATTTGAGCAGGTATCAATGCCCATGGAGCACTGAGGGATAACACAGATAGAAGGCTACATGGTGTTATAAAAGAAAGTACTATTATTTTGAAATTTTGAAAATTATGTTGAAATCACATTCTATTGTCTAAAGTGTTTTTATTATCATTGAGTAATCGATAATAGGCATCAAGTCTATACTTAGTATTAAAATCGAGTGTGGTATCATGACAACACTAGCCACGATACAAAAATAAGCTAATGTGCATTTAAGGTTCATTAAGAGAGTGTACAAACAGAGTGCTCTTCTGCTTTGGATAAAGTACAGACAGTAAATGAGTCTTCATATCAGAAAAGAGATAAGTTACCTGCCATAGACCCCGCCATGAGCCAGTGAATGTGTCCCGATATCCCAAGTTTATTACTGAGAAACTGCAAGAAGGAAATGTTTAGTTATCTTATGACAACCCACTTTCTGTTTGTTTTGTTTCAAGTGAAAGTGCATTTGACAGATTAATATATTTTTCTGATAATTCCTTGGTTTGGTGGGGTAGTACCTGTGGTAAACACTTTGTTAATACTTTAATATTAGTAGTAGCCAGTTTGTGAAGAAATTAAGAAAACAAAAAGTACAAAAATACAAGAAGTAATTCCATCCAAAATACAGGGACAATTTTATGCACAAGAAAGTTTTCTTTTTCCCTTTAAACATTGACTTATAAAGTTATCAATGTTGTAGAAGTTTTCAGTTTGTCCAAGAAAGGATGGAAGTAAAAGGCTGGTGACCAACTGGGTGCCTTAAGCAGGAGAAGTTTATTTACCATGAATAATACGGGCCCAGAGGGACTTGAAAAGTCAACATAGTATGACTTCAAAAGTGAACATAGTGTGATCTTTGAGTGTTCCAAAAGAGGAGGTTTATAAAGCAAGTGTGGTGAGACTATGAAGGGCAGTAGGCACTGGTTAGACAGCAATTTGACACAATTTAGATAATGGTATGCCAATGGTATGCCAAGTCATTGTTATTGTTAAACTGAGAGATGTATGTGGATAAGGATAAAGTCCTTAAATTCTCTTACAATAAAGACTTGTAAAGAAATAAAGTTATCATTCATTTTATTTGTCAAATCATAACTATTGTGTACTTTAGACAAGTTCTGGCCCTTGTTATGGTTAGGTAACAGATCTCCAAGTATGTCCTATCTGCTGCCCGTCCCCAACCAGGAAGTAAAATTATGAACTTCACCAAGATTACAAAAACATTTTCAGTATAATCTTAAATATAATTATGTTAACTATGTTTTAGAGAAATCAATAGTCTAACCCGTCATATACACTTTAAATAAACTCAGAATACCTTTTTATATTTGTCCAGAGCCATAAATTGAATAGCTCCATAGGGGAATATTCTAACCATCATGGCCCCATTGCCTTTGTATAAGCCTAAGAAGCCCTCTTTCTTTGGTACAGCCTTCAGAGTAGCAAACACACCTAGAAGACATAGTGTGAACAATTAGAAACAGTAAAAAAAACCATGTAATTTATTTGAGAATGACAGTGATGGTGTACCTAAATGTTTGTAGTGAGGATTCTGGGCTTGGAGCAGAATCTTCACTCTGTCTAAAGGAGCGATGGTTGTTTTGGCACAGCATCCTGCCACTCCTACAAACACAAATATAGTTTATTAGTATTCTACAGAGTCAGCAGCTGAATAACAGCACATTATTTACTTAGTGTACTAAGACATTGCAGACGCTATCATCAACATTCTCTTCGGAAGTGACACTAATTAGAGGCACTGCTACGTCTGAAGCTCTGTTACTCAAGACAGACTTTAATTGGAGCTTTATTTTAACACAATTTGACCATAAAGAACAGACTAAGCTGGAACTACAACAGGTGATTTGTACTGTTTAACAAGTCTCTCTCACATAAAATTAGTTAAAGCTAGGAAGCCTTAGTCACATTTACCTTTTTCGTTGAAAATCAAAACACCTAAACAAAATGCTTGTATTGATCTCGGGTTGTTTTAATCTATTTTTGTGTTTTTTCTTGGTTTTATACATCTTAAAACTCTTTTGGCTTTGTTTGATGTTGTGTGTATTGTGTCACCATGTTAACTACTCAACATTCTGCCATAGATACACACGTGAAACACCCCCAGCGTGATGCCACTACAAAGTATAAATAAAACTATTTGTACCTCCAGCCACAAAGGAGCGGAGAAAGTGGAAGTCCCTCTGGGCAGAAGGGCGACCTATAGCAGGAGGTGAGGAGACCGAAGCCTCCGAAGTCATCCTGGGAGATCAAGACTCGTCCATGGCTGTAACAGTTAAAGTACAAGTGTTAATATCTTTCATGATTGTACAAAACAGCTATTCATCTGGAGTGAACTGTTAGCTAGCCTACATAAAAATATGACAAAATGTGTGCAAGAATGGGAATTTTTCTTTAAAAGCACCATTAAAGGTCGTATATTGCACAAAATTATCTCCTCCAAAACATACCTGGTGTTCTGTTTTGTTTCATTCACATATGTATGAGCAATTCTTTATTAGTCCGTTTACATCTCCAAAGCTCAAAATCCTCTGTTCCACCTTGTGATGTCGTGTCGTGATAGTTTTCAAGTTAACAGCTCCTTTTACCTTTAGTTCAGTAGAGATTTGGATTTTTAGAGCTGAAATTATCAAAATGATTGTAGTGACAGTGTTTGGAGTTTGTAAACACAGTGGAGCATTTCCTGTTCATGACATCACAAGGTGGTGTTTTCTGTTTGAGAGAAGAACTCAGCCTGAATATGAAAAGTCTGTGTGTTAAACATGTGTAAATGAAACCAAACACAACTCCAGGTATGATTTTAATGATCTTAATATAACCAGTGTTGGGGAGTAACAGATTACATGTACCGGAGTTACGTAATCAGAGTACAAATTATGAGTAACTGTATTCGGTTACAGTTACTCTTTCAATGAGTGGTAATTGGATTACATTTACTTTGTTGAAATAAATGGATTACACAGTGGTATTTTCCTGTTTTCACATTTTAGGCTATATCCCTTTTTTTTTTTTTTTTTTTGGTAATTCCACTCATTGCCGGACACTTAATCAGGTCGAAACCAGGTCCAAACCAGGTCTAAACCAGGTCTAAAACCAGGTCTAAAACCAGGTCTAAAACCAGGTCTAAAACAGGTCTACACACCAGGACTAAACCAGGACTAAAAACCAGGTCCAAACCAGGTCTAAACCAGGTCTAAACCCAGGTCTAAAACCAGATCTAAACAAGGACTATACCAAAACTAAACCAGGACTAAACCAGGTCTAAACTATGTCTCAAACAGGACTTAACAGGACTAAACCATGTCTCCTCGTCTTCTATCAATAATATTTTTAATTTGGTTAAGTAAAGTTTGGGCTTTTTATTTTCTTTTAGCACACAAAACACCTTATGTGAAGATATCCTAGTCTTTGCTGCTCTACAAGTATCAAGTAAAGTATTCAGATTACGTTACTCACTTTAAGTAATTTAATGGATTACGTTACAAACTACATTCTGGGGTATGTAATCTGTAATCTGTAGGGCAATATATTTTAAAAGTAACCTTCCCAACACTGAATATAACTATGTAATCTGACATTGCTTCATAATCAAGTGCACTCCCAAACCGAGAAAAGGACAACTCATCATCACCAGAATTAAGACATAGTAAGTATGCATTGTCAACAGCATTTGACAGTTTAGCATGTGTCAGTGTGAAGCCCTGATTATCACATATAATCACATGTTATGAGGATCTTACTTACGAAATGAATGTAGCTTCTGTATGATGACTTCCTTCAGTCACTTGAAGGTGTCGCTTGTTTCAGCTCTGATTTGAACAGTCGTGTTCTATATTTGTCCTTCTACTGCAAATACGCGGAGTAAAAACACCCGGCGACGTGTCCTCTAATGTTTGAGCTAATCGTACTGAACGCTGCGGTGAGACGCGAGTCATAAGGAAACTCGAGCCAATTTTACGATGCATAACCACATTTCTGCCCTTCGCCCAGCGCCCGTGGACCAGAGACAGACAGCTCCGGGTTGTTTTACAGTCGCACGCCAATGACGCGATGACGTACCTGACGCAAATAGAGTTAATCAAAGAGTTAATCAGTGAACATCATGTGCTATAAAGTATGCACAAAATGTACCCTATTAATATGATAATTGGTCAATTTTGTAATTTATTATCAAAATGTATATATAAAATTGTTTAAAAAATTAGTTTACTAATACATTTATGATAAAATATATTAAAACAATTGACCCCTCACTGTACTTTTTGTAAAGAATATCTCGAAACAATAAAATTTTTTTTTTTTTTTGAAACGCACTATTACAAAAACTTTTTGGAAAGATCATATTGACCCGAACTTTTCATTAAAATTTGAACATATTATTTCTGTTATACATGAAAATAATATATACTCAAAAAAATGGCAATTAACTTAATTATTATATCTGGCAAATTTTATATTCACAAATGTAAATTCTCTTAAAAGAATTAATCTGAAAGTGTAAACAAAAAAGCTATATTGATATATGAATATCTATTAATATCTTGTACAATGTGACAGAGCACAGCTTAAGTTTTTTTTTTTTTTTTTTTTTTTTTTCCATGTTTGATTCCCCCTGGCATCCTACTTGTCATATCATGTGTTTCGTGTATTGTCATTTGTCATATTAATTATTGTTTAGAGAGATTAATTATTGCAGTGACATCATGCTGGAGACATCGTTTTCGCTTTCTATGTGATTTTGTGCAACAATATTGGTCTGATATTCAGTCATGGCTTCAGTCCAGGGGAATTCAGTTTGCCCCTCTATCCATAAAAAAAGGTGTATAGATGATAAAAGAATGGAATTTGGTATCAACAATTTATTGATTTTGATCATTACTGATTTTAGATAAACATTTTATTCAAAAATGTTTTTTTTTTTAATTTTTTTTTTAGATTAAACTAGACATAACACACTGGAAGAATGACCTGTAACTTTTTGCAAGTATATTGGGCTTAATTAAGAGAAAAGAGGCTAGTTTTCTTATGTCCTTTTTAGAGCTTTGAAACTGCCCCTTTTATCCATGAATATGTTTTATACACTGTCGTGTTTTTAATGCATTTATTTTCTTTTCATGTGAACTGTATACTTTTATAAGGTGTCATTTTTGTTTGTACCTGAAAATTTGCAATCAAAATAAAAGTTACACATGCATTTCTTATTGCTGGATTTCAGATGACATCACAACATTCTATAGGCCAATATTAATTAATACAGATGAGGATCAGCTAAAATCATTATTGCTAAAATGCAGATTTGTTTTGTAATACAGTGAGTTTTTGGTCTAGTCAGTCATAGACATCATTAGATTCAACATTTTTGCATTCATTTTCTAGATATTTTGTGGCAAAGTACAATGTAATCAATAGAAAAAATGGCCTTGCCCTTGCCCCCCATCTGAGAGTATGACATCATTACATTTTAGAACAGGGGTCTCCAACCTTTAGCTCGGGAGCTACTAGTACAAGGGTGGGCAAACTACGGCCCGGGGGCCATATGCGGCTTTTAATGCTTTAAATGTAATTTCAATAAATAGTAAATAATAATAAATGGGACTTGAAAGACATATATTTTGTTGTAATGCTTTGTAATGCTTTGTATTTATCGGGTATTTCAATAACATGGGGTTTTCTATATATCCCATGTTATTTTTTTCTCTTATGAGGTGGATTACCAAAAAACTCCATCCATCTGCTCCTGGTCTGGCCCTTCCCTCAAATTTTAGAACACTTTGTGGCACACGAGTCAAAAAGTTTGCCCACCCCTTTACTAGTAGCTCTCCACCCCCTTCCAAATACCTCGCCAAAGGATTTCTGAATGATGCATATTGTGCTTAGTGGCTCAAATATGATGAACTACCATTGTAAATGTATAATTTTGATGCATAACTTTGTGCACTAATAAATGGATGAAGGTTTATATTTTATAGGTATTGAACTGTTCCCCATCTAAAGTTTTTCTATGCTCAACTTCTTGTAACCACTAAAAAAATAACTCTTTGGCATTTTCTTTTTGTAAAGGTACCTCACCACAAGAAAAAAGTTGGAGACCCCTGTTCTAAAATCTGAAAACCAACATTTCTCCCTGCAGTAGCTTCTTGGACACCCCTAGCGGCAACTTACTGGAACTGCACAGTCACAAACTCGTGCCAAGAATCCGCTCCGGGTTTTCCAGTCCGCTCCGCGTCGGGACCTGCTCCAGAGCCGAGCGAGGAGCGTCGAGTTCAGGGCGAGCGGAGAGGAGCAGCGAGGAGCGGAGGAGCGAGCGGTGACCATAGACTGTGACCGCGGGCTGTGCGTCTGTGCAGGGCCGTGCGCGCTGCGGGACCCACGGCGGGGATTTGACATTTGAGCACCGACGCGCACCGCCTCTATTCAACTGTTCTTTTCATCTTTTTGACTTTTCTCTTGCCATGTCCATGTGTTATCGACGTGAGAGGATTGAACTTGCCAGCAGTCTATATTTGCCCAGTAGGGAAGCCAATGCAAGGGCTGGCTGTCTCGTTGGAGTGGAGTATTATTAGCGCTACAGACAACTGTCCTTCTGGTATGTAAAGCATTTCACTCGCAGTCGTGTAACTTAAACCGCTGCGACAAAAACAAAACACGTACAATGATATTCGTGTCTGTTTTTGATCTGAAGGCGACGTGAGGTGTCAAAATGTCAGCGTACGAAAGCAAAGAGCGCGTTTTTACCCTAGTTTTTACGCGGTTATAACTACTCTTCCGCCAGTCAGTGAGAAAACAGGATCTGACCTCCGACCAAAACCCCGCTACTCTACAACGTGTCTCTTTAAAATGCTCTTTAAACCGAGAACAGAGCAGGAAGAAGTTGACGTTTTTCGCCGCGTGTGCTTTCGTTATTGATGTGCGGATTATTTACTTTAGCGCCACTACTACGGGCACATTGCACACTTTTGACGTCAGACTTTGCACTGGCTTGTCACTGGAGATATTCCAGGCGGGGCAGAGCTGTCACTTTGGGGCAAACTGTCTAGTCTGGACAGGTCAAGCTGCGGATTTTATGACTATGGCTACACTTTACCAAAGTAGTCTTGCCCGTATACGTTTAATCGTGCTATCATAAAAAATCTAAACTAGTAATTACAGTTGGCTTTTATAGTTGTGATTGTAGTCGTAGTCAGTGATGTGAACAATACTTTGAAATTGTATTTAGTAACAGAATACTGAATACTGCAGTAAAATGTATGTTGTAACGTATTCTACTTCTACTTGGTCCAATCTGAGTACTAGGGACTTGCAAAAATATCAAAATATCTATATATTGTATCGTTTAATGTGATAATACAGTATCGATATCATGGGCTGTTCTATTGATATATTGCTAAGAGTAGTTTTTGGTATATTTTACAAAATTATTTTGTTACAGCACTACAGTTTTTTTGCTTGTTTAGAGGAAGAAAACATTTGACTTTTTCACTGTTTTGATGATTAAAATCGGTGTGTTTCATATTCACTTTGCACAAGAAGTGGTTTAACAAATACTTTTACTATCACAGCCATGATTTAGCCTTTATTTTTTATTGAACCATATCGAATCAAAAGCTCACTGTATCAAGGTATGTATGGTATCGTGGCCTGTGTATCGAAATATGTATCGTATCGTGACCTGTGTATTGAGATATGTATTGCTTCGGCAACTTCTGAATGATACCCAGCCCTACTGAGTACTGTATTCTGAATAGTACTTAGAATACGTTAACATCTTGTAGTGTAAAGACACAACATAGCATTGAAGACTACTTTTCCTATCACTGATTGGAGAGGGAAATATTTCACATGACCTCACCACAAGAGCTTTTTTTTCTCACTGCTTACGTGCAGTTTGAAGCCAGCATTGTGAGATTAAGTACCTCCGTGTATTCCTTTGTTTTCAGGAAAGTAACTGTATTCTGAATACTGCCAAATAAATATATTCTCGGTATATGTATTCAGTTACTTCCAAACACTGTTTTGTGTTTTTAACTTGTCCTAAATAGTGTCCTTGGGTGTTTTAAAAGGAGCTTATAAGTCTATTATTATTATTATTATTATTATTATTATTATTATTATTATTATTATTATTGTTAACACTGATCCTAGTCATAATGCTACATGAGTAACACATTTATTATACTATATGGTTTTGAACTCAACATGTTTTTTCTGTTCTTCTTTCACAGATTATGTTCCTTCACCATTCGAAGTAAAAAGCAGACGTGTTTCCTCTCTAAATTATTTTTGCTGTACCATAAAACACTGAGCTCCCATGCTGGCGGACAGGCACTCTCCACTCCACATCTTTAGTCATGCCTGCTACAAATCCTGCACGGAGACAGACACCTGCTCCAAAGAGGGGCAGCCAGAAGGCGATAAGCACCAGGAGGCAAACCGCTAACTCGAATAAAACCAGAGGCAGACCTGCGAAAAGGGCTCAGGATGCACCAGCTGAACCCAAAGGAACTACACCGAGACAGGCAGGAAAAAGCCCACGTGGACGAAAGGCAAATGGGCCTAATGTGGACTCCAGAGGGACCCCTAGTAAAGCGAAGGCGAAACAGCAAAATGATGCACCAGCGAGAGGAGGAGATGAGGAGAGCAACCAGGGGAGGCGGAAGTCATTACGGGGCACGCAGGCAGCTATAACTGTCAGCCAGATTTCTAAACCAGCTTCTAGAGGAGGACGAAGAGGCAATTCAGGGAGGGGAGCAGCCTCACAAGCTAAGTTGGCACGTAAAGAACCCCAAGAGAGTAGCAGCAGTTGTCCAAATAGGGAAGAAGAAACCAAAATAATCGACAAATGTGACGCTGAGGACATCCCTGTATCTCTGAAAACAACTTCCGAGCTCCAGGCGAAGGTCAAAGATCAAGATGTAAACAATGCTAAAGAGGCAAGCCCCTTAAAAGCAGATACCCCACCTTGCACTGACACACTGGAGGACTTTTTACCAGGCAGCAGTGACAGCACTACAACCGACAGAGACGGAGCTACACGTGTTGAAAATAATGAGGACAAGTTAAGGTGTGAGGCCGCCGTCCCGACTGGCGAGGATGATGGACAGCCAAGGCTCTGCAGTGATGATGCCAAATTCAGCGCGTCGGAGATTGAGCCTCTAACAAATCAAGCGCTTCTCACAGATGACAGCTCTCCCTCCGCTGGAAGCCATCGTGTTGACAGCGAAGCAGAGGCCAGATAACCCTACAGCTGAGGTGGAGCAAAAAGAAGAAGAATCAAAAATAGTGGAGAAAAAGGAAGGAGCAGAAAAGGCGAAAGAGGATTTACAGAAGAATGAGGAAGTAATTGACATGGAAGTTGAGAAAGAGATATGTAAGGAGCCAACTCAAGAACACACCACTTTGGAGATTGACAAGATAGATAAAGACAAAGAAGAATTTAAATGCAGCACAGAAAATCGTTTACACTCTAGTGATGGTGATGAGTCTGCAGTGAGTTCTGAGTTCTCCAAACCAAAAAGTCCTCCTCTTTCTCCTTCCAGTGTGGCACCTGTCTCATATTCAACTACCTCAGCGTGCACCAAAGCTCTTCCCTCTCCACAACATCTGAATCTGAGTAAAACGGGAGTCCATCTTAGCACTGAAGGAAACATAGATCTTTGCTGCGTATCTGCTAATCCAACTCCTTCTGTGATAAGAAACACTCCAGTTATTATCTGCAACAAATCTGTCAGACCAAAGGGGCTATGGGAACCACCCCTAATGCATAACTTGGATTCTCCCGAGATGGTCAGACATGCCAAAGATAGTAAATCCTGTCAGGAGACCCACCACCACCAAGAACAATCCCAGGTGTCCACATCATTGTCCGCACTTCCTCACTGTAGCACAGCTGGGGTCGGGTCTAACTCAGCCGAAGATAGAAATGCAGCCCCAGAGCAAGATGCGGCGCCAAAAGTGATTTCAACCTCTATTTTCGATGGCAGCTCGGTATTCTCGTACAGCTCCGAAAGCACGCGTTCCTCTTTGTCTTTTGATACCGAATCGGGCACGGAGGAGGGGTACGAGGGAACTCAGAGCCCCTCCGTCCTGCTCGGGCCTGGGAGAGGAGAAGGGGAGGGTGGTGATGTTCCCCAGAGGAAGGAGAGGAAGAAGAGGAGCAGGTGTGGAGCATGTGAGCCTTGCCTGAGGAAAATCAGCTGTGGCCGGTGTAGCTGTTGCCTGAACCGGAGGACAGGGCACCAGATTTGTAAACTGAGAAAGTGCGTGCAGCTGAGGAAAAGGAGAGCTCGGCCTTTGCTGTCTTCTGGAGCTAAGGTAGAGTACGGTTTGGTTTATTAATGATGTGGTTTCAATGCGTTTTGATGTTGTTTACAGTGTTTTTGCAGCAGTAAAGTTTGGGGTTTCACACTACTTTCACCCGACAGCTTTTAAAAGATGTTATACTTGGGTGACCAGATTTTTCAAATAAGAAACTGGGATATCCCCGGGGGTTTTTTTGGTGGTTGGTAATAATAAAATTGAGAAACAATAATTATGCAGAAACCATTCATGACTAACATGAGTCAATATAGTCACATTTTCTTGCAAGAAAGCAGTTTTTCTGTATTTTAACTAAACAAATGACAATTTATGCCTCTCTTTACTGTTGTCAGGGATCAGATTGGTCAAAAAAAGGGACATTTCTTGCATAAAACTGGGACAAATCACTTGTTTTGGATAAATCTGCTGGGACAGGGGACACAGGGCTCGAAACTGGGACTGTCCCAGGTAAATAGGGATGTCTGGTCACCCTAGGTTATACAGTTTATATCACAACTTTTGGAACTATTTTAATTAGTGGCCATGGTACATAAGTGTCAGTGGTGAGTGATGAAATTGTCTTTTGTAAAAGCTCAAAAACACATCTAAAATGTCAAAGAGCTGTTACAGTTAATAACAGATATAAAGGCCTACAACTCTGCAAGTATGTAGTCTGTACCTGACCTCTGAATCAAAAAAATTAAGTCAACAATTGTTAAAAAAAAACAGTGAACAGTTAGCAAAACAACAGGGACACTGCAGACTCCAGGCACATTTATCATTACAGACTTTGGGATCAGACACAGTTGAATTTAACCTTACTCTGCTTAAATAATAACGTGTTAAGGAAATCATTATTGTGTGGCAAAAACAATAGCTCTGTGGACAAGAATTAGGCCAAAAGCGGGTTTGTTGAGGGACATTTTTAGAAAAAAATGATGTATGTACGAAACCTCAGTACTACATTTTTATAGTAATTCAGTGTTTCTCATTAATAGAAGAGACTATGGTGGCCCTTTGTAGTCAATATTTTGCCTCCATAATTGAAAAGAAACTTGCTTTTTGAATGATCGTAAATCATAAAATAAATATAGAAGCAAGTTTATTTAATCTGTATACTATCAGTTTTTGATTCGTAAAAGGCAGTAAGTGAGATTAATATTAAAGGTGCATTGTGTAACTTTTCTGGTGGAGAGCCCGTCAAATGGTTTATTCATGGGGATATTGCTTTGTCTGGAATGTTTCACCATATGTTATTAAACCTTTCTGTCTTCATGGAGACTAAACCAGACCAAGTTACATGTCAGATCTGTGGAGATCTGTGGCAACCCTGCTCACAGTCAGAATGCCTGTTTTTCTAGGTATTATTGAGCTATAAAACCACCTGTAATTGTAAGGTAGACCTGTTTAATGTCATACTGTGGAACATTTCAGGCAGAGCAATGACATATCCATGGAATCATGCAGGTGATGCTCCACCAGAAAGTTACACAATACACTACAAAATTAAAATGATTCAAATAAGCATTGTCTTTGCCACCACAATCTCATAAAACAAAACACAACTGGAAAACAGTGTAATTTATGTAATTTTTATGTTGTTTTCATTGTTTGCACACAGTATAAATGCATGTAGTTGCCTTTACACTTTCTGATAATCAGTGAGGTTTTGGCCATTTTAACTCTAAAGAAATGTGCTTATGTTATATTTTGTTGGTGCATTTTTCTCACAGCTCTTACTCATTTACTAAACATATTAATCACCACTTTTGCCTGCACTTTGAATATAGCCCTCTTTTAGTAATTCCTCCCACATAAAGTTAGTTTCAGTTTCAGATCAACTTTCATTTGTTGTTTTCAAATGATAATAACTACACATCTGTCAGTATTGTTTTGTGATCTGACTTGGATTCGCGTTAAAGGACCTGTATATCTATATTATAATGTTGTTTCCTCATCACAAACATACCTGGAGTTGTGTTTTGTTTGTTTGTCACACAAATTCTGCATATTTAGGCTTAAAACACCCTGTTCCACCTTGTGATGTCATATGGTAATACAGGAAGTGCTCCATTGTGTTTTTAAATGGCACACATCTTTACTAGAATCATTTGAATGATTTGAGCCCTGGAATTCCTAATCTTCATTGAACAGTGTGAAAAGTAGCTGTTAACTACTACGAACTACCACTTCATGACATCACAAAGTGGAGCAGAGCATTATGAGCTTTGGCGATGCAGACAGACTAATAATCCAGGATTACTCAGACATGTGTGAATGAAATAAAACACAAGTCTAGGTATGTTTTTGAGGAGGTAACTACATAATAACTTGTCTTAAAACTCACAAGGGTTGGCATAGGTTTAGTTGTGGTATCAGATGTGTAGAGTTTGCGGTAATGATGTGGAATACTGTCACATGACCTGGGTTGGTGCACGTGGTGTAGGAGTTTGTTTGGATTTGAGAGAGTCATACAAGCTAAACATACCAGCCTACTGCATGGTTAGAGTTGTGATAGTTACATTTGGTTAAAGGTTCATGTAGGGTAAGAGCAGGTTTGAAAAGATAAGTTAAGAGCATGTTGTTTGTGATAAAAAAGGACATTTGTGTTTTCTATGTGTGAGTTAAATGTTGTTTCAAACAGCAGGAGATAATGTGCTGTCAATGAGTGTGTGAATGGTCATGAGTAAGTAGTTAAAGTCCATAGGAGCAGGACACAGTGCTGCACAGAGTCAGTGTGCTATATATTGAACCTTGGGCTGAACACTTTTGGAAAATATTAAATTTTATGGTCCTGTACTATGCAAAATCAACTCTTGTGAGCTTTAAGCCATGCTAGAATGTAGTTGCCTCATCAAAAACATACTCAGAGTTGTGTTTTGTTTCATTTACATGTTTGAGTAATCCTTTATTACTAGTCTGTCTACATTTGTGTATCATTCGTTTTTCAATATAAAACCAAAATTAAGAAAATGAAAAAAAAAACAGTTTTCTTCATTATTTGTCCCCAAAACCAAAATGAAAAAACAGATTTGTTTTTTCAGTTTTCGATTTTGTGTTTAAATGAATAATAGAAAAAACAGATAACGGCCGTTTCCCGTTTCTGTGACTTAAACTGCAATGCCAAACTTTTGCGCCACATACGGACTGAACCAGGACTGAAACAGGTCTAAACCAGGACTAAACCTTTTTCAGTCCCAGTCTCTTGGTCCCGGTCTGGTCCCTGTCTCAGTCCCTCTCTCAGTCCTGGTCTGGTCCCGGTCTAAGTCCTGGTCTCAGTCCCAGTCTGGTTCGGGTCTGGTCCCGGACCTGGTTTAGTCCTGGTTCAGTCCGGCATCTCAGTTTAAGTCACGGAAACAGGAAACGGCCGTTGTCCGTTTTTTCCATTGTTCATTTAAACACAAAATTGAAAACTTAAAAACGAATCACTATGCTTTTTTCATTTTGGTTTTGGAGACAAATAATGAAGAAAACTGTTCTTTTTTCATTTTCTTATTTTTAGTTTTATATTGAAAAACGAATGAACGAATGACACACGGATTTGTCTATATCTCCAAAGCTCAAAATGCTCTGTTCCACTTTATGACAACATGAAGCAGTAGTTTTCAGTTTAACAGCCAGCTTTTACCTTTTGGTCAGTAGAGATCGACAGTTCCAGGACTGAAATTATCCAAATGATTCTAGTGAATGTGTGTGAAGTTTAAAAACACAGTGGAGCTATTCCTGTCTTACCACAATACACATCACAATTTGAAACAAAGTGTTTTCTGTTTGAGAGAAGAACACAGCCTAAATATACAGGGTTTGCGTGTTAAATGTATGAATGAAATAAAACACAACAGCACTATTATAACATAGATCAGAAAAGTATGTAATATGGGTTCTTTAATAATATTTCTGACAAGTATTGCCATTGTAATTCAATTTGTGATTTATGTTTTAATAATTTAATAGAAAAGCCTGAATTATGAACCTCTTTGTACCTTTTACACTATAGAACATATAAAACACATAGTTGCTGATATTTTTCTAACTATAACAAGTTTTTGTTGGACTAATACCACATTTCTTTACATTTCCAGTGCATTTATGATTCGCTCATTACATTTAACAACCGTGATGGTACATATACACGGAGTCATGGACATAAATAAAATGTATAGCCTAGTTAGCCAGAGTGACATTAAATCAATATTGCTGTTAAACGCAGCCGTGAAATATTATTACCTTCACGCCATTGCCAAATAATTTCCCCTGCGGATCAATAAAGTTTGTCTAAGTCTAAATTTAAAGTGCGTATGGCAGATTTTTATTGTTTTATTCTCTAATTTTGACTTAAAGCTGCATTTTGTAATTATTTCTTGTGCTGGAAGGTCTGTCATATACAGTTTATTCTCCATAGAAATGTTATTGCTTTGTCTGGAATGTTTCACAGTATGATATTAAAACTTTCTATCTTCATGAAACCAAACCAGACCAAGTTACAGGTCAGATCTATGGAGAAGCGACCTGCTCACAATCAGAATGCCTGTTTTTCAAGGCATTTTTGAGCTATAAAACCACCTGTAATTGAATAATTGTAAGGTAGAGCTGATTAATGACATACTGTGAAATACTCCAGGTAGAGGAGTGACATATCCATAGAAACAAGAAGGTGACGGACCCTCCACTAGAAAAGTTACACCGTGCACCTTTAATTTGGTGGGATAATACCTGGTGTATATAGAAATGATAGTTTTACGCAAATCAAGAAGCAATTTCTTAAGAAAAGTTGAAAAATTTGTTGAAAATTACAAAAAGTAGAGAGTTTCAAATCAACACACTCATGACCTCACACTGGGAGAATTCTGCTGAAAAGTTCAGCACAGTTAACACACAAGAAACATAAAAAAAAAAAAAAATGATAAGGTGTTTTCTTATTTTATCTGTCAGACAACAATTTCTGGGTTAGAGGAGTTCTGATAGGTAACAGAATTATCTAGTGTGATGTCATGCTTTCCAAGTAAAATTTTTAA